ACTCCAGCTCTGTTCCGAGATCAGAATCAGCCATGTCAGGTTTATCGTTCTCATGGGATTCATTAATATTATGGTGCCTCAGTTTCTGTAATATACTCTCATACTCATCTTGCAAATTGAGTAAAGCTTCGTCAAGCAACCCATCAAACTTCATTGCATCAATCTCTGTCTCGTAAAGAGTTTTGAGTGTGACCAAAGTCTCTCTCAACCTATACGCTCTGTAATGATCAGTGGCTTTGGTCCTGCTCAAGAATTCCACCACCTCTTGCAGCTTTTGAATCACTGGCTCACCATCTTTACTAATTGTGTTTATGACTGCATTTAGCTTATCAATACAATCAACAAGTTTAAGCAAGAGCTTCAGCCGTTTCTTGGGCTTTTCATCTGCAGACAATTGGGAGGAAACTTCGAGGAGCTTCTGTTGGAGAGACTCAGAGAGCTTGAAGCTATCAAGGAGGGCAAGGGCAGGAGAGACAGCTCTATTGATTCTGGTTTCGAGGGCTTTTGCAGCCATAGCCAAAGAATGCAAAGGGGCTACACTTCTTGAGGCTGTTGAGAGACTTTCATCTATGACGTCAAACTTTTTATCCATTTTTTCTAAGGTATCTTCCATCTTGGTAGAGGTTTGAAGCAGTGTTTTCAAATCCGAACATGCTAAATTCAGCTTGGTTATCATTGAATCCCCTTCTTGGAGCTCCATCGAGTTTGATATTCACAGACAGGGAAGAAGAGACAGAGGGGCTTGAAGTTTACAGTATGTTGGAATGGGTGGTTGTGTTCAATGATAGAGCATAAAGGGAGTAACGAAGAGGACGAAGATTGATTAATTTGAAGAGTAGGTCTCGATGCAACCTAAATAAAAAACTGGCATATGCTAATGGAAGCTGACAAATGGAGAGAAAAGTAAAACTAAGAACACACAGCCGGTGTGCTTTTGAAGCCCCGCCAGGAATTGACTCAAAGTTGAAACCGCACAAATCCAAACACTATACTGCACCCAAGGTTATTGAGAGCTTATTTTGTGGACACATCTGCTTGCAGCTTTTGGATGCTCTCAGGGGCAACGGGCCAATAGACAAGTGTTATGTTTATTGGGGAATAAGAAAAAGAAAATAGTTCTTTGTAGAACACACCAACATTGCAATCATATACTACTAAAAACGAGTTTTATTTGTGCTTGGTAATCCTGAAAATGTAGTTGATCAGTTTTGACATCTTAGCTACTACATGCTTAGACCTAACAATGTACTCATGACATTCTTCACAATCATGCTAATGCCCGTGGTATATCAGCAGCTGACTTGGTCGTTGTCCCAATAGAGTAAAAAACACCAACTTCCGTCCTCGGTTACAGTTTGGCTCTAGGAATGGTAATGGATCTGGTACAATAAATGCTCATTAAGTGCTCAAGTTAGCTCCTGATGAGACGTTCTTTTTGCCTACGAGCCAAGCCAATCAAGGGCAACGCCTAAAAATTTGCAAACAAATTATTGCCCAAGGCATTTCATTGAGGCCCCTGAAAAATCAGAAAAAGAAGAAAAATCAATAAATTTTAGTTGATCCTAAAATGTGCGTTGACTAATTCTAATGTTTAAAAAGTAAAATAATTGAAAAGATAATTTCATTCATCATGTTTGATTGATCTGGTATTCTTATTATAAATGAATCATTACTCTTTTATCATTGACGAGTTTCTTAATTAGTTTTAGAATCTTAACAAACCGAAACAATAGGATACCTACCTAGAAGTTTGTCTGCCATGAGAACTTAATTCTTCTGCGTTCAATTCTTTGAGGTGGTTGTTATAATAACTCATTTATAGACATGTCACAGAATTCAAGCCTTAGTAGTTGATCCAGTTTGGACAGGCAAGTTTGAAACAATCATTTTTGCAACATTATAATTCTTTCAAATTTTTGGCAAAAAGACACCATAAATATCATCCCTTTTCTTATGCATCGTGGTAATTATTACTGTATTTGGATTTCCAAATCTCCATCATAATGTATGAGCATTTGCTAAATAAATTAAGTACGCAGCCAAGCAATTGTTTCTCTATTCAAGACTATTGCCCTTGAAGGAAGAGAAGATGGATGCAGTCACCATCAAAGTTGGCACCCTAAGGGCCAAATTAAATAGTCTTAACTAGTCGGTTGTTTGTGTTACACTATGCGTAGAACAAAATTATTTTAAAATTTTCTAATTAAAAATTTTTATTTAATTAATTTTTTCTAATATTTTTTATAAATTTTCTATTAAAAAAATTTATTTTTCTTTATGGATTGATTTTAAAATAAAAAATTATAATAATTTTAACTAAAATATTAATCAAGAATTAAAAAACTTTAAATATATAATTTTCATAATATTGTATTCCAAAAAATAAAATCATAATTAATTGAAAAACTTTTACAAAAATTAGCAAATGAAAATTTTTTTTCTTATTTAATGCCGATAAGGATTAATTTTTGAAATTATACACGCAATGCTACGGGTAGATAGAACAAAACATAATTTTTTATTTTATGATAACTATTTTTTTTGTGTTTTCCATAAAATTTCTACTTAAAAAACATGATTTATTTTTTTTATTCAGGATTCTTAAATAAAAACTTGTAATAATTTAAACTCGAAATATTAATTAAGAAAAAAATAATTTAAAATCATATATTTTTATAAGAATGTATCCAAAAAATAAAGTTACAATTAATGTATAGACTTAAATAAAAATTAACCAATGAAAAAATAAAATTTTATTCTTATTTAATGTTGGTGAGAAGATTTGTTTTTGGTCAAGCATATGCATTTGATTTATATATATTTGTTTATAAAATAATCAATAAAATTAGCATAAAAAACTATATTAGAATAATTGGTTGGTTACTTTAAAAAATTATTTTAATTATTTTATTTCAAATAAATTGATTCTATAATGTTAAAAAAAATATTCACAACAAAAAATTTGTATTATGTTGAAAGATGTATAGTTAATTTTTAATATAAAAATAAGAATAAAAATTAAATTGATGTGAATTTTTATAATAGATTGAAAAGATCAATTTTAAACAATAAGAATAGTATATATTTGTTCTAAAATCTAAAAACATATCGTATATATTATATAATCATCAGTTTATACGAAAAAATAAATGTCGAAAGATGTATAATTAATTTTTAATATAAAAATAAGAATAAAAGTTAACTTGATGTGAATTTCTATAATAAATTGAAAAGATTAATTTTAAACAATAAGAATAGTATATATATATTCTAAAATCTAAAAACATGTCGTATATATAATATCAGCTTAAGTGAAAAAAATAACAATTGATTTTTAAAATTTTAACACCTAGTTAAATTAAAAAAAAAGAACATAAATTAATGAAAAAAATCAAAAGAAAAAAAAAGTAGTGCATCCACTAGGGGTTAAAATTCTAAGGACCGAAATGAAACAATTTAGAAATTACAAAAAAACTGGATGAATAGTGATTTGTGAAGGGATGAACAATGAAACTCACTATTCAAACGCCCTATCTCTTTTAGATATATAATAATTTATTCTAAAATCTAAAAACATATTGTAAATATTATATAATCATCAGTTTATGTGAAAAAAATAATGATCGATTTTTTAAAAATTTTAACACCCGATTAAATAAAAAAATATAAATTGATGAAAAAAATCAAAGCAAAAAAAAAACATGTGTAGTGCATCAGCTAAGGGGTTAAAAGTTTTTTAAAACAATTCTAAAGACTAAAATAAAATAATTTAGAAATTAAAAAAAAAGTAAATAGTAATTTGTGAAGAGGTTAACCGTAAAACTCACTATTCATACTCTCCATTTCTTTTAGATATATAATAACATTAAGAATAGGTAGACGCCACAAACAGGGGGTGAAACCAGATATTTAGGCTGGAGGGGTGAATACAAAAATAATTTATCATGTTTTGGAGCCAAATCATGTAAAACTGAATAATTTAACTAAACACTTTCAAATTTTTATAATTAAAACGTAAAATTTTCCAAATTTTGGGCGCCACGGCTCCAGTAATTAACGTTATTTCAAGACAAATGGCCTTTTATATTTTTGAAGATGGAGAAATATTTTGAGTATCCTTAAATAATTGAACATTTGACAACTGGCAATCAAATTGGAATAACGAGAGTAACAACTACAAAGAATGCTCAAGAGTATCTCTAATTGTACTCTTTACTTTAAGTTAGTATTTTTAATGTAAATAGATAGCATAATTAATTATATAAATTGAAGATTAATGTACTTTTCAATACTAGTCTCTACTTTAACTTTTATATTTTGACAAAATTCATAAAACATCTAATTTTGAAAATTTTTTTCTTTTTTTCTCGTTAATCTCCCTTTATCCGATTGATGAAGAGGTCGGGTGACATAAAAAATAATAATTTTTATTAATAAAATATAAGATAGAGAGTTATTTGAACTTTCTAGTATTAGAGAATCAAAGACACTTTATATTTCACTTTTAAAGATAGATTATGATAAAGAGAGCATTGAAGATAGAATTTGAGTTAAACCTTTTTATTATAATGAAAAATCTTAATATAAAGATAACATTAGAGATGCTCTAAGAACTTGTTAAAAAAATTAAAAAACCGAGCTCTTTCATTAATCTTTTGTCAGCGAATGTCAAATTGGATTCATTGAAAAACAATAGACGGATATTGTTAATATTTAAAGAAATAGGAGGTGAAATGGAGTGCTTTCTAAATCTACAAGGATGAAAATATAATTTACCCACTTTTTTTATTTTAAAAAATCAAGTTGGACGTGGCAGCATGAAGATGCGCCAGCAGAGAAAGCGCGAAACTTCTAGTAATTTCGCGGGAAACGATTCTATACACCTTTCATAAACATTTACACAAAACATTCCAGATTGTCTGACAAAAACCACGCCAATCAAAAGAAGCCTCTTGGGCACACTTATTATTGGAAAAACCTGATCAATCAAGCTAAAAAAAATGGCGAGTACTCGTGCTATAAACCTTACAAGATCTCGTCGGTGGGGTCTTTTATTTTCACGGAGATGGTTCTCTTCAGATGCTTTGGTTGAGGTCAATCCCGGCGAGGTCGGCATGATCTCTGGAATTCCTGAGCAACACCTTCGCAGAAGAGTGAGTTAGTGTCGTGTTTACTATTTTTGTATTCGTTGCGTATATGAATGATTTGTGTTTCGTTGAAACTTGTATTTCTTATTTGACCTTCGCAGAAGAGTGAGTTAGTGTCGTGTTTACTATTTTTGTATTCGTTGCGTATATGAATGATTTGTGTTTCGTTGAAATTTGTATTTCTTATTTAATTGCTTGGCTGTGGAGAAGTACAGAAAGAAAATTAATCAAGCTAAACGATTCAAACCTCGTCTGAATTTTTATTTTTTTCAATTATTTTTTATTTGAAATATATATGAGTATATATATATATATATATATATATATATATATGAGTTTTTATTAATTCTAACAAGAGAAATAAGCAAGTAAAAATTATAAAAATTTTTTTTGGAGAGAAATATAAAATTTCTGTAAGTTTTAGTATATTTGTAGTTGTAGAAGAAGTTAAGGGGTGAACTACGCAAAAGTTATATGTGCTTTTACTGTTTGAAATAATAAAAACGTAACAAAAAATTTTAATTTTAAATAAAAAAATATTTGGAGAAAGGTTCAATTTAAAATTTAAAATTAAGAAATTAATTCTCTAATGATTTAAAATTCAAGAGAGGTGTAGATCATTTATCCATAATCGATTCATGTATTTGTAGCTGTTAAAATAGGTGTTTGCTTTGCTAGTTTACATTCAATTCGATGCGGTTCTCCAAGATAACCAATCTCAGGTGACGTGTTGTTCAACATAGCGGTCTTTAGACGGCATCAGGTCCAAGTTCATTGCAATACCGAGCAATGGCCGATATGTCTTCTTTTCTAATCCCTCTTTTAAGGCTGATAATTATAGGAGAAAGTAATTTTTCTGTCAAACAGAATATATCTTCTCTGCTTCTGCAACAAGTTGAACCGCTAAACCCTAATTATCTTCTGGTTAACAATTCCAAAGATGGACGTGAACTTTTCAGAATTTAAGAGTAATAGAGGGAAAATACAATTACCTATGTGCTTGGATTTTTTCCTTCGTTTAAATTGAGTTTCCCTTCTTTTTTACGCCCATAGAATCTGAGCTCATTGGTGGTTTGCTATGGGGTTTATGAATTCCAGGTAATAATTTATTCACCTGCTCGAACGGCAACGCAACAGGGCTCAGGGAAAGTTGGGAGATGGAAAATTGATTTTCTGTCTACACAGAAGTATGCTTACTTTGTTAATGACTCAATTGCCTGCTTTACGTATCTTTCTTCTAGTAGATTATAAGGATCAAGTTCTTAGCATCAGTCGATTATTCTGACTTCATTTTATCCCTTTTTAGCCTTATGAGGCCACATATAAACGAGCCTTCTGAGATATATCTTGGGGTGAATTTTTCACAGACACTTGGAATTCATAATTGTAAATTCGACAATTCTAGAATATAGGTGAATCATCATAAGTATTGGCAACCATTCAACCGATGTAATTAATGATTGATTTCCAGGCAATTACTGCAAGCATCATAAGGTATATAAATAGCATTCAACCCGTTTAATTAATGATTGGTTTGCAGTCAATTATCGTAAGCATCATACGCTATAGGCATAGCAATAATCCGTTATCATTATTTATCCAGGTGGGAAAATCCTTTGATGGGCTGGACATCTACAGGAGATCCATATGCCAATGTAGGTGAGGCAGGACTCTGTTTTGATAGCGAAGAAGCTGCAAAGGCATTTGCTGAGAAACATGGCTGGGAATATTTGGTAAGTGCCTCTTCAGCCTTTATTTCTGATGTGCACATTTAAAGCTTTTTAGTTGTCTCAACGTGAATCCCCTATCTGGTTCAGTGGTTTTGTTCTATATGGAGGTTCCCAATAAATATGTTAAAATCAGAATGGTACCGCATTTTACATTCTCTTGATTCATATTTAATCATTGAATCTTAATATAACAGTGTCTTAAAACAATTTTTTTTTAGTTTATTGATTTCATTTCGCCTATCTTTGAAACAAATTTGATTCTTTTGCAGGTCAGGAAACGTCACACCCCTCTTCTAAAGGTTTGTATCTCCCGTTTTCCATATTCTACAGGATGGATGGTCGCTTTCTGTTGAGAACTAGGGGTGATTTCTGTAACTTACAGCAAAATGTTTTCCTATTTATGTACCTGGGTACTGTTAGGACTAGGAATAATTTTAAGAGCCCTCGACTGAGAAATTTTAACCTAGTCTTAATGGATGGAGGGTATTAACTCTTAGCAGCCATCCAACTGCTTTTTAAGTTGCATGTGATTTCTTATTATATCTCTGTTTTCTCCTTCATTTCCCCTCCTTCACCCTTTTTATTTTGTGAATTTACACACATAACAATTATATTCCTAAAAAAAATAATAAATACTTAAAATTCAGGCTGTCTTACGGCTACCAAAATTGGTGGATATATTAAAGCATCAATCGTCCTTTCTTTTCTTAATCAAATAACTGTTGACATTTTGCATGTGTTAGAACATCCAGAAAAATAGTTCAGGAATTACCCCTTTGTAAATTCTTGTTTTGTTTGCTATTTGGTTCTATTTATTTGAGAATTGTTTTCTTATCCAATTTCAGCCAAAATCGTATGCTGACAATTTCAAGTGGAAGGGCCCAGCAAATTAAGGGCCGAGGATAAATACTCCGCAAATTACCACAGTTCTTCGTGTTGACAATTGAAAATGTGTAAGCGGATCCAATGTCTGATATCTGCGTATGTATCATGTGTATAGCTGTTTCTGCGAATAAAAGTAATGAACTTTCTGTTTGTAAGGATACGATCCTTGTGCTTGTATGGTAAAAATATCTTTTTCTTTGGTAAGAGAGATTTTGACAGAGTGATTTTAACACCATCACCACCCCCTTGTCCCAAGAAGAGACAAACGAAGAGTAAATAAACAACATTTAGACATTCACGAAAAGCTGAAAAAGCTATATATATTTGACGTCTTATGTATACAACCACCATATGGCCGCTTTCTAGCAAACTACTATATAAAACAAAACATTTAAGCATTGGTCTTGGACAGAGAATTCTTTCTGGTACAAGTGTGGAACCTCCAGCTAAACAGGTAGTCCTTGGATTCGCATGATAATCTGACAACATCACAGAAAGTATTGATCATATTCCTTTTCCCATTGTTGCACCATGCTATCCTCACCCAGCATGAAAACCCATTTGAAGATGCTGGCACTCTCAAATCAGAAAGATGAAGCCCCACCTCCCCACATATCCTTTTGCATGAACTGCCAGCAAATCGTCCGTCACCAGTCATCATTGAGTCAAGCCAAGAACATTCTGGCTGACCCACCATTTCTTTGTAAGCAGAATTTGCCAGCCTCACTTTGTTGTTGGAATCCGATATCACTGTTGGCAAGACCTCAGACTCAACCTCTTCCTCAACTTCCTCTGGCTTCTTTGGAACTTTCGTTGGTGGGATGGAGCTTGGGTCTTCATTGATCCAGGCAACACTTATGCTTGAGCCTACTGGTCGAAGCGGTTGGGGTGCTATAACATTGCTGCTGGGAGGTTCCTGTAATTGCTGTAGGAGATCCCTCTCTTCGGGAATTTCAGCCACGGTGTTCAAATCTATGGCCTTGTCTCTATTTCGTTCCAGGCAACTAAGCTTAGGATCTGCTGCTTGGTTTCCAACAACAGGAACTGTTGTAGGACTCTGAAGAAGTGGAAGTGTTACTAGATTTGATGACACAGTAACTGAATTTTCCAAGCCGCTATTGACCCCAACCAGGCTTGGAACAGGAAGCTGAGGAATCCCATGAGCAAAACACTGAAATGAGAGATGCTTGGCAGGGGATGTTACATGACCAGGAGAAGAAAGGCCCAGCAAATGGGTTCTTGGTCTTTTGAAGGTAGGTGGTGATACGGCAGCTCTGCCTCTCTTCCTGGTTCTGGTAGGCCTAGCCTGCATTTGGGGCCAAAGGTTCCTTAAATAAGGAGAATCTCTGATTTTCTGAGACATGGATGAACTCTCGTCCATTGAACTCACAGGACCTTCAGGCTTTGGAGCTATAGGCCTATACCTAGACATAATTTCAGCTGTTTTTGCAGTGTTGGAGTAAGGAATCAGGGTCTTGATCATGGTGGCTGACTTCTCTTTGTGCTTGAATGATTTGTGACTGACGGTTACTTCGGCTTCTCTAGAGGAGTCAAGAAGCCCTTAGCGTTTTAGAAGAGAATGCTGAATGATTTTCTAATTGGTGGAGATCTATAGAGTTTAGAGATCGGGGAGGTAATGCGAATAGAGAGGGATTGATGGGGTCTTGGGCAGATTTAAGGGTAGGTTTTGGCCAATGAGAGGAAGGCAGCATGAGCCAAAGAGGCAGGGAGGTTGACACTTGGAGATTGTACGATGGGGACGTGTTTGTGAAGTTTAGAGAAAGGGACGAGTGGGATTTGGGTATGTTAGTGGGCTCCATGCATGCTTACACATATCATGGGTAGACAATTTTTGACAACCGAGCTCCCAAGTCAGTTTTAAGACTTCTGGGCTTTGCCTCTCATGCACCAATCAGAATGCCCTTCTCATTATAACGCGTGTGTAGTTGGCTGCCATGCGTGGATACACCTATTGGGATTGGTTTGGCCATTTTTGTTTTTGGCATCGCCTTTACCTAAGTAACCTCTTATATGGGTCGGTTATTTTTGGCTGGCTTACATGTGTCACCTTGTTACAATTTTGTATTGCATGCAAGGGGATGAGTTAGAATCTGATTGGAGGGCGAGTGAGCTTTTCTTATTCTCGGTAACAGAGGGTGAGTGAGCTTTGGGAGCTTAAACTTTGCAAAACAAAGGCAAATAAAATCACACGTGGCTTTTGAGCGAGAATGCTGCTAAAACGTGTTGTTTGCCCTTGTAAAGCGTGCCTCTTTTCCTGTTAGCGCCGTAGCGGTGCCTTTTCTGTTTGCCACTTCATCTAGCCATGGCTACTGAGGCTCAATAGGATCCAGCTATCAGGTCAGGAGAGATGTTAGAAAATGATTTGAAGGAGCATAAAAATTAGGGAACGACATCAAGTAGCATTCTCCTGTGCCTGAGAGATTCACATGAAAGTGTAGAGGGTGTCTGTAGCTGTGTGGAAGTGAAGAAAAATTTTATATTTGTGGGTTATGAAAATTTTGAAAAAAAAACGACTAATAGGTTTATGTTTAATTCAATGTTGTACCAGTACGTCTAGAGGCTATTCGTTGTGCACGAAACCTTTTTCTGTGAGCTTGGGCATTACAAATGGTACCAGAGCCCATCTCAGCCCAGTGTGAGAACTAAGTGCCATACGGAACGTATTGCTACATCTCTGTAGCCACCTCTTAAATCCAGGTGTCATTCCAATTCTTGACTATGATGCAACGAGAACGTCGCATTTTAGGGGGGGTGGGAAAAGGGGGAAGGAAAGGATTGTGATGTCTCGTATTTCACGTCCGTGGATTATGAAAATTTTAAATTAGATAAAAAAATTATTTTGAACAATGAGAACAAATAAAACTAACTTAATGTTACATCTCTAGGTTTAGAGGTTGTCCATTATGCACCAAGCCCCATCCTTGTGATACTACAAAGTGATCATCGAGCAAAGCATTCTCTACGCTTGCGCATATTATATAGGCGAATAACATAGGTCAAGGCACCTGATATAGCAAATGAAAGATAAGTTAATAACAATAAACTTAAATGTGAAAACGAAATGAAGTCTTATGGCTTAGTTTATTACTAGTTTTTTTTATCCGTCCTGCCTTATAAGTCGGATAAAATATATTAAATTATTTTTAAAAATTTATTTGTCACTTATAAATTTTTAGTCAAGAAGAAAAAATCTTTTAATCTATACCAATACTTTAAGATTTATATGTGTACGATATGTTGATACTTTATTTATATAATATTTATATAATCGGATTAGAAATCAAAAAAGAGTTTAGGTATAGGTAGAACTAATTCGTAACGATAGTTGGAAGTTGACGATTGTTAGAGCTATGGTGGTTCGTTGGAAATTAAACACTAAATTCTTTCCATCATGTTTCAAAATAAAATAGATTAACGGTGAGGATTTTTGGGAACTAGTTCTTAGCGATAGTTGGAAGTTGACGATTGTTGGACCGGAGTGGTTCGTTGAAATCTATAGCTCAATTTGTCTTCTTCTTTTTTTATGTTATCCTTCGACGTCAATAATTGTAGTTCTTTCAATTGTTTTGATTTTTTTTTTCAGAAAAAAAGGTTTGGCTGTGGTTACCAATTCTAATATGTCGTAATGGATTTTGATATTAGTGGTAGTAGTCAAGGTTTATATATATAGGTGGACGTGGGTTTATTCTTAGGTATTGTTGTTAGGAGCATAATTTTGAGTTTGCTTGCAAATTGTGAGATGTTGTTGCATTGTTTGGGGTATGACAAAGTGAATTTAAAGATATTGGTCATTGGTTTTAGAGTGAATTGTAGCGTGATTTAGAGATAATGAGGTGAAATCGGGTTTTATTTTAGAGTGAACTAGCTAGGTTGTTCACGCTATGCTGCACATTTGGTAAAATAAAATCATTTTAAAATTTTAAAATTTTTTAATTATAATTTTTTTCTAATCTTTTTCATAAATTTTCTGCTTTAAAAAAAGCATAAATCATTCTTCTTTATTGATTGATTTTAAAATAAAAAATTATAATAATGTCAACTAAAATAATAATTAAGAATTAAAAAAATTAAAAATATATTTTTCATAACAATGTATTCCAAAAAATAAATTTATAATTAATGGATAGACTTTTATAAAAATTGACAAATAATTTTTTTTCTTATTTAATGCTGATGAGAAGATTAATTTTTGAAATTATCCACATAGCATCGCGGATAGATATAACAAAATCATTTTAAAGTTTTATAATTTTTTTATTTAATTATTACTAAAAAAATTTATGTTTTTCATAAATTTTTAGTTAAAAAATGATTTATTCTTCTTTATTCGAGGATTCTTAAATAAAAACTTGTAATAATTTAAACTCGAAATATTAATTAAGAATTCAAAAAAAATACTTTAAAAATATATATTATTTATAAGAATATATCCAAAAAATAAAATTACAATTAATGTATAGACTTGCATAAATTAAATAATGAAAAAATAAAAATTTATTTTTATTTAATGTTGGTGAGAAGATTATTTTTTAAAAAGTATATAGATTTGATCTATATTTATTTATTTACAAAATAACTAATAAAATTAGCATAAAAAACTGTATTTGAGTAATTGGTTGGTTCCTTTAAAAAAATCATTTTAATTATTATAATTTTAAAAAAATATTCATAGTAAATAATTTGTATTATATTGGAAGATGTATAGTTAATTTTTAATAAAAACAATGATTCAATATTTTTTAAATTACTTCTTGACCATGCTTAGTGAATTGAGATAAATTATTTGAAATACATTTTTAACCTTTTATAATAAACAATTATATATCTATATATGTGCAACTATCATTTAAAAAATTTAATAATTCATGATATATATTATAACAACTTATTTCTTAAAAAAGAAAAAGAAAAAAAATCATGTTTTAAAATTTTATTCTAAAATTCAAACATAGAGAAAAATAAATTTTGTTTATTAATAAATAAAATTTCATATAAAAAATATTAATTAGATGAGAATTTTTATAAAAAATGATAAATTCAAAGAATAAAATTTAAATAATAAGAATAACATAAGTGAAGTGTATATATATATATATATATATATATATATATATAGTTGTGTGAAATTGAAAGCTAAGGATTGAAAAGTAATGTTACAACATGATGGACGAAAATAGAAACATGTGTTAAATTTGCATATTAATATCCAAAAACATACAAAAATCACTTAAATTGTCATTGAGTAAATAGTAATTTTATGCGTATCAAGAGTAAGTGAATAAGAATTTTAGACACATGAACAGTTCGGATTCTTGCACTACGCTACGGATCGAACTAAACTACGCTGTAGACCGAACTAAACATATTTATTTCAGCTTGATAACATATAATATGCTATCAATTAATTAAAATATATTAAATCAAATATAAAAGATAAAATTCATCTATTTTTATAATTTTTAATCAAAATTTTATAACTATATATATTTTTTATGTTGTGAATAAATTTGAAAGTAAAACAAAAATATGATTTGTTTCTTCTTATGCGTTTATTCTTAAACAAAAACCCATAATAAACAAATTTTAATATAAAATTTTAAAAAATTTCTTAATATTTTTTTTCCATAACGTTGCACTAAAAAAATAAAGTAACAATTAATTTAAAAACTTGTATAAAAATTAACAAATGAAGCTTTTTTACTAATGAGAAGATTATTTTGTTTAATATGTACATTTAATTTATATATATCTATTTAAAAAATAATGAATAATATTAGTATGCAAACTTGTATTTGAATTATTAGGCGGTTGTTCTAAAATATTATTTTATTTAAAAAAATAAATTTGAAATATTAAACGAGAAAATAGCAAATAGTTGGTATTGTGTGTATAGATGTATAGTTGATTTCTAATAAAATCAATGACTCTAATATTATTATTTTTTATACATTATGACCGTACTCAATGGGTGAGAATGTATAGCTTAAATAAAAAAATATTTAAAAAATATAATTTTAAAATATATATTGAAGTTAATAGAGTACAATAAAAACTATAAAATTGATTTTGATAAATTTTGATTATATAAAGAATAAGAAAATAAAATACATATATTCTATTTTTAAAACTTGATTATTTAAGAATTAAGTAAATAAAAATATGTATAAAAAAAACTTATTCAAATTCATACGTAGAGAAAATAAATCATATTTATTAATAAATAAAAATTATATAAAAAATAAGAATAAAAATTAATTTGATGAGAATTTTTATAACAAATCGAAAAGATCAAGTTTAAACAATAAGAGTTGTAGATATTTATTCTAAAATCTAAAAGCATATCATATATATTATATAATCATCAGTTTGTATGAAAAAAATAACGATTGATTTTTTAAAATTTTAACACCCAATTAAATAAATAAAAAGAACATAAATTGATAGAAAAAAGCAAAGGAAAAATATCAAAGAAAAAAAAAGGCATGTGTATTGCATCTGCTAGGAGATTAAAATTTTTATTTTAAAATTTTAGAAATCAAAATGAAACAACTTAAAAAAAAAAAACACTAGAGTAAGTGAAAAGTGAATGATGAAGGGATGAACAATGATATTCACTGTTTTTTATTTTTATTTAATGATAGTCTGAATGAATAAAATGGATTGATTAGAAAAATGTCTTATTTATTTTTTATATATTTATTTTTGAAGTTGTATTTTTATTTTATTTTTTTGGACAAACTTTTGTTACAAATTTTTTTTTTTTGAATTTTATTTTGGATCTAGTGTTATGAATTTTTTAGTTACTTCTCAATTCAAAACACATGTCATGTTTTTAAGATTTTGTTACGCGACCCATGTCCAGTTAACATTGATAGATGGACGAAAACCTGGTTGAAAACATAGTTTTTATATTAAAAAAAATTTATAGTAGTCACATTAAAATTTTTAAAAGTTAGAGATTTATTTTAATTTAACCAAAAATTTAAAATACTTCTGGATGATTTAGCTTACTGCTAGAAATACTTGGGGTGTTTTATTCCATTTTGGTTTTGATTTTTTTCTTTCAGTGAATACGTTTTGACATTTTGTTATAAACTGATGTACCATATTCTTTATAATATTTTTTAAAATCGTGACTGGATAGATTTTCACAGTTAATCTATATATTATTGGATTTTACTCACTTTAAATCTGGAGTAATATAATCAATCATATTAGGTAAATCCAAACAAATGCTTTTAAAATCCATAATTTGAATTAAATATTAATTTACAAAAAAAATCTTATCATCTAGTAACTTGATAAAATAAAATTCTAACCATTGAAATTCAAAACGATGGTCACCTGGGGCCCAACAATTTTCATAAAACACAAACTCAATTTTCATTCCACACAAATGGTATTTGGATTGAAGTCTAGATGTGTAAAAATAATTAAATAAAGCAACTTGATTAGATTTGTCCTTCATTTTTATTGTAAAATAAAAGAAGATTGATGCATCAATGAAAATTGCATAAGCATACGAGTGCAGTTTTTTTTTTTTTTTTTTTGTCAAATGCGCATGAAAGTTTTTCAAAACAAATTAAATAGTTTCTCTAGTTTCAATAATTAATTGATTAGTTTCCTAACTAGTATTTATCATGATTAATTTATTTTTATTTTGTTGCAATTTTTTTTTCTAATCAATCCTTTCATATTTTAATTTTTTTTCTATTTTTTAAAACAAAAAATCAACATAAATTAAAAAAAAATGAGTTGTAACTAGTATTTATCATGAATAATTTATTATTATTTTGTTTCAAAAAACGTTTCTTTTTCTCATAAATCCTTATATATTTTTTTACTTATTTTTTTATTTCTTAAAAAAAAATCAAAATAAATTGAAAAAAGGGGATCAAATTACAAATCGAATTAAAAATATAGAAATTAATCAATTAGTTTTTGAAGTTAGATAAATTATTTAATTCCTTTTGAAAAAACTAAAAAAAATAATTTATCATTTACTCAAGTTTTGGGTACTTAAAAATGCAATTGAGGATTTAAGTGAAGATCGTACATTTATTATTAAATTGGTATACATATAATAACACACACCTCCACCTAAGTCTCACTACCGGAACAGCAATACTCTTCCAGTCTTCCTCAGGAGTCCAGCATTGTAGAATTCTATTATCAATGGAATAAACCAGGTTTCTATTATCAATGGAATAAACCAGGTCCAAGAACATAAATAATCTAGATGCACTAAAAAACAAATAGTAACGGCATGTTCATCATCTCATTTCATCAAATTTCAACATTTCCGATATCAACTTTCTATACCGCCATCCGAAAGAAAAACGTCACATTTTTCTTGAAAGCAGCACAAGTACTCAAGACAGCAACAGCAGCACATACAATCAAGACTGTAGTGAAAAAGGTGGAAATAATTGATGATATAATAAAAATCAATTGCATGAGATTATAAATTTTTCCCATGCGACAAAGAATGCCCATTTTTGGTTTAGAAAATTATGTTGACATTACATACATCTATATACAATTAAGATAGCCCTTGAAAATGATAAAAGTGGATATCCTCAGAAAACAAAAACTCAGTTTGGAATATGTAGAATTAATTAATTATTATTGCAAATACGAAGGACAAACATTTTTTAATGTGAAGCGTGATTTGAAGATTGAGAGAAAAATGCAAGGCTCCACAGCAGTCGCTGGAATTCGATGGTTCTGGTGGTGGTGGCGGCAAAGGTGGCTGACCATTATAGACAGCTTGCGGTTGAGGTGTCAGTGGAGGATATCCTGGTGGTTGTGGAGCATAAACAGGTGAAGAATAACTATTATGTTGTGAAAACTCATGTGTACGGGAGTTTGTAGTATAAGGCGAGCAGGAGTTAAGGGGGCAAAGCCCTTGGGAGAGCTAGGTGATGAAGCCTTCAAAAGGTTTACAGAACATTACATCAATTGTATACATCCAGTAGATTTTTTTTATAACTCTTATTGTCTACACTATAAGTAACATTATTTATATTTGTAAACGTTAATAAAATCTAATAAAAAATCCTAATATTTTATTTTTGAATAATGTAAATTTTTATATTATATGATTATTTTTACCTTTATATTTTATTATCTGACTAGATTTGTTTCCTAACAACCTCCTCTTGAATAATGAATATCCTACGGGAGTAACACCTGCAGCATTTCATTTTCACATGGTAAAAAATAACTCCTTTGCACAAGGTTAACCTGAAATTCTAGAACCTTTTGGATTTTGGCTTATCAAACCAATTATCAGTTGTGATTTTCTTGTTTTTGCATTTCCCTATTTTACTAGATGGATGGTCCAAGTAGGAAATAATTGTTAACAAAAGGCTCACTTCGAAATAACCTAACCAGTAACATACCCTAGCTACGCAGGTTTTTGGATTAAACCAGGATCCTTTCTCATTACTTCTAGGACTTTTTATATTCAGAACTGTGGGTAACTGCAATACTGAAATTTAAGTAATTAACAGAGCCATTAGTTTAAAACATGGATACATATTCAAATTGACAGACCACGACCAAGACTCACAATTAACAAATTCAAAAAAGTTTAAATTATTCAACTGCACTAATAGAACAAGTAAATAGACTTTTAGGCCGCTGCATGTAGCAAGCATCCTTAACAAGAGGTAACTTGCGGTTGATAATTCGTATTTCTGCCCTTCGCTTCAGAAGAATATTTAACATACTTCAGGAAAAGATAATTTTAGTATACCTATGAGAGAGATAGATTGAAGGTCCTTTTACATTATTTTGAGAGGGTTTTAAAATAAAATAGGAGCCACCAGAAAGTAGTATCAGGTTATTACTATTACTATATATCTAAAAGACTTGAGGTTCTAACTGTTCACAGTTATGCTCATCTTTTGTTTTATATATACATGTTGTGTAAGCGTTTATAGATCAGCGGTTAGGATATTTGCCTTCGAAGCCTATACCTGGGTTCGACTCCCAGAATAAGCATTTTTAGACTGTTCGCATCCTTTGTTTTTTGCCTCATTTTTTTTTCACTACTCACCTTTTCCTCTTTTTTTTTTTTGCCCTTTCTTTCTTTCCTTTGTTTCAAGTTCACCCCTCTTTTTATTTTTTTTTGTTTCAGGTACTGTTCACTTTTTTCTTTTTTTCTTTTTTTTTCTCAAGTTGTTGTGAATACATGTTTTCCCCCCCATCAAGTTAGGTTCCTTTTTAATTTTTTTTTTTTAATTTTTAGGTAGTTTCGTTTTGATCTCGTAGGTTCTTTTTTTATTTAATTTTTTAAAAAAATTTCAGGTTATTTATTTTGATCTCTTAGGTTCTTTCTTTATTATTTTTTAAAATTTTCAAGTTATTTCATTTGCGTCTTTAAAATTTTAAAATAAAAATTATAATCCTCTATCCGATAGAATACTCATTCTTTTTCTTTTCTTTGTTTTTTTCATCAATTTCTGTTCTTTTTTATTTAATTAGGTGTTAAAATTTTAAAAAATCAAACAACACTTTTTTCCACACAAGCTAACGATTATATAACGCCATTCATGCCTTTTTTTTCCTTTGTTTTTTTTTTCATCAACTTATGTTCTTTTTTTTATTTAATTAGGTGTTAAAATTTTAAAAAATCAATCGCTATTTTTTTTCCACATAAACTGATGATTAGATAATATATACGATATTTTTTACATTTATACGATATGTTTTTATATTTTAGAATAAATATAACCTACTCTTACTCGTATAAAATTGATTTTTTTTATAAAAATTCTCATCAAGTTAATTTTTATTCTTTTTTTATAATTTTATTTATTAATAAATATGACTTTTTTTTTCTATGTATGGATTTAAATAAGTTTTTTTAATATCCTGTTTTATTATTTACTTGATTTTTATATAATCAAAATTTAAAAATTGAATGTATTTATTTTATTTTCTTATTTTTTTACATAATCAAATTTTATCGAACTTAGTTTTATAATTTTTACCGCACTCTATTAACTTCAGTATATATTTTATCATTTAATTTTTTAAAATATTTTTTAATTTATTTTATTTATTTTCACCTATTGAGTATGGCCATGATATATAAAAAATAATAACATTAGAGTCATTTATTTTATTAGAAATCAACTATGCATTTACACACACAATACCAACTATTTGCTATTTTTTAAAATATTTAAAATGATTTTTACAAATAAAATAATTGAAATAATATTTTAAAATAACTACTTAATAATTCAAATACAATTTTGTATACTAATATTATTTATTATTTTGTGAATAAATATATATATTTTAAAAAATAATCTTCTCATTGGTAAAAAAATTTCATTTGTTAATTTTCATATAAGTTTTTATATTAATTGTTGCTTTATTTGTTCAATGCAATATAATGAAAAAAATATCATTTTTTTAAAAAAATTATATTAAATTTTGTTTATTATGGGTTTTATTTAAGAATAAATGCATAATAAAGAACAAATCATATTTTTTTGACTTCAAAATACGTCCGTGTATATATATATTGATTAAAAATTAGAAAATCATATGAAATTTTATCTTTTATATTTACTTTAATATATTTTAATTGAACGATAACATAGTATATATTATCAAACTGAAATAAATATGTTTAGTTTGGTCTCAGAGCATTACGCAAGAATTCGAATTATTCATATGTCTAAAATTTCTATTCACTCACTCGTTCATATGCATAAAATTACTATTCACTTGATAACAGTTTAAAAAAATTTTGTATGTCGTTTTTCTTTTTTGTGTGTTTTTGGGCATTAATATGCAAATTTAACATTTTTTTTTCTATTTTTCATCCCTTATATTGTAATTTTTTCAATTCTTATTTTTCATTTTTCTTTCATTTTCACACAAGCATATATATATACACACACTATCTTTTAATATTTTAAAATTAACATATACGTCAACTTATGTTACTCATATTATTTAAATTTCATTCTTTGAATTTATCATTTTTTCTAAAAATTCTCATCTAATTAATATTTTTTATATAAGATTTAATTTACTAATAAATATAATTTAATTTTCTCTATGTTTGAATTTTAGAATAAAGTTTTAAAACATGATTGTTTTTTCTTTTTTAAGAAATAAATTAGTATAATATATATCATGAATTCTAAGAATTTTTAAATGACAGTTATGCATATATACATATATAATTATTTTATTTTAAAAGGTTAAAAGTGTATTTCAAATAATTTGTCTCGGTTTACTTGGTATAGTCAAGACACATAAAAAAACTATTGAATCGTTGATTTTATTAAAAATTAACTATACATCTTCCAACATAATACAAATTATTTTCTATGAATATTTCTTTAACATTATATAACAAATTTATTTGTAATAAAATAATTAAAATAATTTTTAAAGGAGCCAACTAATTATTCAAATATATTTTTTTGTGCTAATTTTATTGATTATTTTGTAAATAAACACATATAGATCTAATGTATATATTTTTAAAACATAATCTTCTCACCAACATTAAATAAGAATAAATTTTTATTTTTTCATTAGTTAATTTTAATGTGAGTCTATACATTAATTGTGATGCATTCTTATAAAAAAGAAATGTAATTTCAAAGTATTTGCCTTTGAATTCTTAGTTAATATTTCGGGTTTAAATTATTACAAGTTTTTATTTAAGAATCTTTACATAAAGAAGAATAAATAATTTTTTAAGAAAAATTATATTTTTAAAATTTTTTAATTCTTGATCAATATTTTAGTTAAAATTATTATATTTTTATTTTAAAATCAATCCATAAAAAAGAATGATTTATATTTTTTCAAGTAAAAAATTTATAAAAAAAAATTATAATTTTAATTAAATAAAAAATTATAATAAAATTTTTTAAAGTTTTAAAATGATTTTTTTTTATCGGATCCGCAGCGTAGCGTGGGTAAGTGACTAGTTCAGTGCTAAATATGGATTTTTTACACAAACATTATTTATTAATGGGTGCACGTATAAATGTGAGAGAAGAGTTGATACACTTATGTATATCATCACGATCATGACACGTGTTCTTCTGCTATTTTTAAAATTATAAGAATAAGATTTTGCCATGAATAGAAAAATCTCGACCTGTTATCAAGAGACCTCATAATTGGATAAAGTCCGAATGACTAATACGAGTAAACAATTCGAATAAAAAACACCACATCTCTCACTTGTTAGACAATATATATATATACACATTTAATAAAAACGTAGCTTCATAGGTGATCACTAAATATTACTCCATATGCGTGGTTAGATAATAAAATTTGCTTAAAAAAAAGTCTTAAACCTTCAAGTGGATATCATAAGCTTAAAAAAAAAAAAAAAGAGACGAACCTGCCTTCCACTGTATACAAATTGATCACCTTCTCATCCATATAAAGGCTAAATATCATTAAGTTTATTAAGACTAAATATACTCTTTGTAAGTTAATGTAACCATCAAAGAGTCCTCCAAATACTAAATGAGGACTTGTTTTGCAATTATGCTCCATTGATTCAACATACAACAAACTACAAAACCAACACCATTGTTTTGAATTAAAATTCATCCTACTATCAATATTAATTTGAAAATAACAACCTCATAAAAATAATTGTCAATTTTTTAATTTAAACACAAACCTTCTAGGCTCTATATGTTTTTTTTTTTTTTTTTTTGCTTTTCAAGATATCTTAGTTCCAAAGGTTCGGACTATTTGTTCGGTCAAGCGTAAAAAAAAGCACAACTAATCAAGAAGTGTTTTGCATACATAAGAATTTAAATTTGAAACCATTTACTTAAACAACTAAAACTCATTTCACTCATGTCAACCCTCTTGAGTAGGCTATACATGTTTTTCCTCCCAAGAATGTAGTTTGGTTCTTTTTGAAGTTAAGAATTGAAAGCAAATTTGGTAGAGTCATGCTAAGTTATACAGAATCAAAATTGCATATTTACAACATTGCTTTATTTATTCTTTTTTTCCTATATCTTCCCATATTTAGCTTCTCTTCCTTTATTATGTACGGTTAATTGTAGGATAAGTAAGGAAGATTTAAGGGCATAGAATAGGTGAAGTTTGACATCTAAAATCTGTACATCCTTTTTAAACAACCTCAACGTCGTTCCGTTTTCACTCGGGTTCTACAACTCAAACCAATTGAATATAAAGTGAAATCCAACCAGGATTATGATAAAAATCCAAATCCACAAAAAATAAGCATATAGTTTGTTTTGTATAAAATATTTACTTACTTCCTTATTTTTGTTTTACATAAAATATTTTGAATATTAACCTATAAACTTAATTTATTTATTAAAAAATATCTTTTAATTCGTGAAATTTTATAAAGTTTTTTACACACAACTCACAATATTATCTAATCGTTTCAACCATTATCATTAAATAATTTTTTTATCATTTTATTTTTCACGTCATTACTTATCAAATGTCATAAGATTTATTTCATGTAAAATGTTCTATACAAAACAAATGTTTCCTTAGTATAGAAAAATGAGATGTTAGATGCAATTTTAATAATAATTTTATGTTACTCACCAATAATTTTTTTAAAATTAAATTATTTTAGACTTTAAATTTACACATATTCACCATTACTTAGTGTTGATTTAATTTTGATTATTAAAAAAGAGAATGATGAGATAAAATTCAAAATCCATTTTAATGTTATGTAAACAAATCATATCAACTAAAAAAATATAAACCATCGAATGAGGCTTTTGCAAAATAATGTCGCTTCTCCTAATCTTCTTTAATATATTAGAATACATTTTTACTACGGCCAACCAATTCAAAATGTTCTATGTAAATATTTGCAAGGTTATTTTCAATTTGAAGTCCGGGCCAACTCCGTTCCTACCCAATCAAATTTCTACAAAAAAGATTAAGCATAACAAATATGGTAGAGTCTAAAAGAACCAAAGTAATGAAAATTGAACATGAAACAATGTCAAACGGTTTATGAAAACGGTAATACATTATTGCGACAAGTACGTAGTAGCTAAAAACATCACTTAAAATAAGAAGTAAAACATTCCCATAATAGCTGTGGAAGATGGAATATGTAATAAGTGGGTCGGTGAGATTCTGTTAAGATCAATGCAAATGATCGTGTAATAAAATGTTTGAAATCTTGAATTTATCCTGTTAATGGAGGAATGATTTTTTCATGATTTTTTACGTTGCTTTGGGTTTGAGCAGTATGGAAAGTATTGCCTTGTGAGTGCAGTCTAGATGTTTCATTTTGTCTAATAAGATTGTTAGTTTCTGTAAAACTGCAGCAATCAACTAGCTTAATATGTTTTCAGCAATGATTCAGGTAGTTTTTGCATGATCTAGAAGGAATAGATACTGAATCAAAACAGATTCATGATGACCCTCTTACAAGCTGACAGTGTTAAGGACAGGGAGAGAAGGAACAATATACTCCCGAAGAAGGATGAGTTATCTTAGCTTAGTTGTCGATTTGCAAGTTCAAAACGAAGAGAGACAAGAGAGTCACTGCTTTATCCATGTCCAAGTATATTTGAGTGTTCTAAATGTGCTATCCTTGGTCCCAACAAACCATGGATGACCTTGCAGCTCCACAACGACTTTCATCTCAGCTACAGTTAAAGAGGATACGAGGTTACTCAAAAAACCCTTCAAGAGAAAAAAAAAAAAAAAAAAGAAGCAAAAAATATTAGGACTTGGCACTGCATGGATTAACTTAAAAATATATTGTTTTTTTATTAAATTAAAATTTGGAATTAATGATTTGAAGAATTTATTTAAATTTCATTGAAGGTATCCATTGATATGGAGATGTGTTTTTTAACATCATCAAAAAATAAAAATTAATATTAATTAAGATGCAAATTGATTTAAGAATATTTTTTTATTTATGAGGGAAAAAAGGAGAGTCTACAATGCTACTGCTACTAAAAACAATAAAATAAAGGACTTGGCACTGCATGGATAAGCCGTGACCCACTGGCCACTGAACTTTGGACTCCACGAATACGACATAGGGCAGTGCCGTTATTAACTACGACTCTAGGGGCCATTACGAAAATAATAAAGCGCCAGCATCTCCTTCCTCAGCAAGTTAAAGTTAGAATTAGAGCAGTAGTAGAAATCATTTTACTACTCCTTTATTGTTTGGTTCTCTGCTTGAATTTTCGATGGAAGACAACATCGCCACCAAAAAACAACCAAATCTGCCTTCAAATTACGTGACTCTCGCTCAACTCCAAGAACGGTGGATAAAAGAACAGCAGATAAAACAAAAGGGGAAAGAACAACAAGAAGAGCAAAACCAAAAGAAACTTGATAACGAAGAAGCTGAGCCAGAACACCTGTCTCAACCAATTCGAAGAAATTCCAACCGGAAATCTTACCGCCGGAATTTAATTGGCACAAATGTCGAGGAATCGAAGATTGTATCGGTTGCTGTTCTTGAAGAAAATGAGAAGAGCAAAGAAATGAAAAGAAAACGGTGGACGAAGAAGAAGAAGAAAGGAGAAGCTAGGGCACCAGAGAAGGAGGGGGAGGTGGCGGGAAGTGAAGCACACGCGCTGCTAGTGAAAAATGAGAAGAAGAATGTTAGATATGAGCGAAAGAGGGAAATGCGGGTGGAGTACGGGGAAAAGGTTGAGAAAGTGGTGGAGGAGAATAATCAGACGGTTGAGATTGAGAAAGAAATTGGGGATCTTTCAATTGATAAAGAGAGTGAAGAAACAAACAGGAAAGATAAGGTTATTAATGGTGGAATGAAAAACAAGTACAGGGACTGCGAACAAAACCAAAAGAAACTTCATAACGAAGAAATTGAACCAGAACACCTGTCTCAACCAATTCGAAGAAATTCCAGCCGGAATTTAGTTGGCACAACTGTCGAGGAATCGAAGGCTGTATCGGTTGCTGTTCTTGAAGAAAATGAGAAAAGCGAAGAAATGAAAAGAAAAGGGTGGACGAAGAAGAAGAAGAAGAAAGGAGCAGCTAGGACACCGGAGGAGGAGGGGGAGGTGGCTGTAAGTAAAGCACACGCGCTGCTAGTGAAAAATGAGAAGAAGAATGTTAGATATGAGCGAAAGAGGGAAATGCTGGTGGAGTACCGGGAAAAGGTTGAGAAAGTGGTGGAGGAGAATAATCGGACGGTTGAGATTGAGAAAGAAATTGGGGATCTTTCAATTGATAAAGAGAGTGAAAAATCAAACAGGAAAAATAAGGTTATTAATGGTAGAATGAGAAACAATTACAGGGACTGCGATGGCTATGATAATCGAGATGATAGGGATCACAGAGGTTATAATGATGGCGGTGATCGTGGTAATGGGCAGTATAGTGAAGGTCATTGGAGGTATAATAGCAAAAATGGGTGGTATGGAGGAGGCCATAGGAGGTTTAATGGAAATGAACAACGGAAGGGGATAGATAATGGAAGGGTTTGGGTGAAGAAAGAAGAGGTTGCTGATGACGGTGATATGGTTGGGAATCAGAGCTCGAGTGGTCCGTTGAAGGAATAATTGGATTGGTAATGACTTACTTCCCTGTTGTTTATTGACCTGCAAAGTTTGTTTTTTTGTTTGTGTTGCTTATATTGCAATTGCTTTGTTTTTTTAGTGTATGTGGAGATTGTGAATGTTTTGAGAGTTCACTATTGTTAAACTAGTTGATTGTTGTGTTTGCGAATTGTCTTATATGGGGCAGTGGAAACACTGAGGGTGTGATTTAATACAGTAGTATGAGGGCTGAGGGCTGTAGCATGTAGTGAAGGAATGGCATATTGAATACTTAGTTATAAAGGTGAACTTGTGTGAAATGATAGGGAGCAATAAGCCACAGAAATGTGAGGGAGTAGATTAATAAAATATCGAGGGAAATGATATTTTGGATTTTTTAATTTGTCTTAGGATTTTATTATATTGTGCAAGTAGAATGTGGTATGTGAGTTGTCTAACGTTCTAGGTGCTTTTCTAAGTTCTTCATCACATAAAATAGCTGTCTATGTTTAAGTGATAAATCATATACATGTTTTACTTTAATGAACAATAACATTTTGCAACAACAATCAAATTTTTGCTTTCTGATATATTGTGCAAGTGGAAGATGGCTAATTCTTGGTGCTTTTCTGAGTTCCTAGGTATATAAGAAGTTCTCTTTGGTCAAGAGATAAATCATAAACATGTTTTACTTTAATGAATTAAAAGTTTCCAACAAGAATTGAATTTGTGCTTTCTTTTAATGAGCAATGCTATACTTAGAAACAGATCGTACAAAATTTTCATACAAACACATGTGGCGTAAGTATGATGAAAGAAGATAAAGAACCAAGAACAAAAGGGAAAAAAGATTATTACACTTTGAAAATGGAAAAAGCAAAATTAATAATCTAAATGACTATTGGCTATCTTAACCATAATTATTAAAGCCCATACATAAACATAATCCGAAAATAACAATTACAGAAGAAAATGAGAAGTAGAATTTTAATGATAAGCATTTGACCGTATGCAGCTAAAATAGTAAGCAAAGGATGTGCAATTGAAATTTTAAGACAGTCTAAAAGCCTTTAAATTCCACAAAGTGAAAATGAACGTAAATAAAACCTGTAAAAAGGAAAATGAAAGAAGTACAGAAATGGAAACAATTAAGGAAGGGATTAAGCATTGGACTTTAGGGCCTTTCCATCCAGTGACAATAACTGAGAGATCAAAAGGCTCAAAAAAGAAGCATTTTTGCTTGGAGTGGCTGGATAAACAAGCAAGAAACTCAGTGATTTACTTGTCATTTGGGACGACGACAACAACCTTAGATGATGAACAAATCTAGGAGGTGGCAATTGGGTTGAGAGAAAGAAAAAAAAGTTCTTTTGCATACTAAGAGATGCTGATAAAGGAGATGTTTTCAATGGAGAAGAGAGAAGAGCAGAACAACGAAAAGGGTACGAGGATTCAGTACAAAATTTTCATACAAACACATGTGGCAATTACTCTTGCCACAAGCGTTTATATGGAGTTTTAGCATGATTTGTTTGCATACATAGCATTTTCCTTCTTTTAAAACACAACATTTACAAAATGCAAGTAGTAATGGTGATATCACTTTTGTTTGGAGATCCTGCTGTATACTGCTGGTAACTTCACGGGTTTCTGTGGAGATCTTAGAATAACTGTGCTATGTAGTTATTATGATAATAAATAGAAGCGCTTAATGTATCTCTACAACTACAGTATGGATTTAGCTGTTTGTTGTGAAGCAGCAAGATGTTGCTGATTCATAATTTTGTAGTGTGATATACCAAGAAGCTAAGTAGAAGAACTCTGCAACCTTTTTTTTTTTTTTTAAATAGATAAGCAGAGCTCTATAACTTTTGGAAGGTTGCATGGATATTTGAAACTAAATTATTTTACCATAAGCTCCTGCTGCAGAGGGACAGACTAATTTTCCTGAAGTTCAGAATTATTCTCTAGAAATTGTGGACAAAGCTATGTTAGTTGCACCCATCTTTGCTGTAAACATTACCAAAGGTTTCAGAAGGTCTCCAAGCCACTTCTATTAATTTTGTGGTTGCATCTACTTTTCTTTCACCAAGACCTGCTTCCAGCTAGTAAGTGTGGTTGTAGATACCAGCAACGGTTTCTATTAGGTAGTACTCACTATTCCGTTTGCCATTTTAAAGCTTCTGTGGCATCTTATGCTCCTATTAAACTATACCAATATGACTCAAAATTACCATATATTATCAAGTGGTAGCAGTACCACTTCAATGGAAAAGATTGTCTAGAGCATGTCATTGAGTTAATCACGATTTCTACCATCTAGGATCACAACTTAATAGATGTTGGTGTCTGTTCCGATGAATTAGATGAAAGATACAATGTTCTGTTAGTAGTTTGATGTGGTGAAGAAGAAAAGCAATATGGTTTGAAAGATACAATGTTCTTAGTATTTTGATGTGGTGAAGAAGGAAAGCAATATGGTTTGATGATTTTGATCGCTCACCAGCATTATCTCCTTCACCATTGCCATTATTTTTCTGGAAACTCAAAGAGTTCTTGTGTCACTTGTGAGTTATTGATGTCTTTTAGTGGTTTAGCAATCAAAATAGTGAACATGTGAATAAAACGATAAATGGAGCTTCCGGGGTAATGAGTGAAATGGAGAAAAGTGGAACACGAATTTCAGATGAGTAGAGCATTCTAGGATAATTCATGCTGTGTGATTTGTCAATGGAACCATTCATCAATATGAAAAAGTTGCATGATGCTGCATCTTTAATTATTTTTCACTCTCTTTATTAGTGTTCAATGATTGTGCTTCATTTAGCTTTTTGAGAAAAACGAAGAAAGGGCATTATAGATTAATCATAAAAGGCAACCCGTTTGACCAGTTATACAATTATTGCTCTACGTATGATAGAGTTGAAGTTTAATAGTCGCGCCATCTTTGAGTGCAGGTTTGTCGTAGATGGCCAAAAAAGGAGGGAGGCAAAAACTATAGCAGCTATAGAAGCAATCTGACATCTTTTGGATAACGATGCTATGAATGTGTATATAACTATGTACATATGGGACCAATATATAGAAGCAACCTGTCTTAAAGTGGTCGGACGTATTAGACCTTTATATTTAGGGTTGCTAATGGGTTGCATTTGGATCTAATGATAATATATTTAGATCCAATTTGTTTAGTAAACTGATCAAATCAAAATTTGAATTTGAGTTATGCTATTGTTGATTCGGATCTAGATCCTAAGGATTCGGATATCATTGGATTTATTGTGCTATTTTTTTTTTCAAAAAAAAAAATGCATTGATTACATTCAAAATTGTGTAAAATGAGTTTCAATTTTTGCATGTACAAAAAAATATGTTATGATAATATTTAATATGTTAATTTAAAAAAAAAATCAGATGTCTTGTCATTAAAAAAATCAAATAATTATGATAAAAATTTCTATTAATGGCTAAAATTAATTAAAATTGGGCAAGAAATATGATAAAATTTAAAAAATAATAATAAAATATTTTATGCTAGGCACAACTTGATTTGTATGAAAGAAAATGTTAATATTTTACAAATAAGAAGTTTGAAATGGATAAAAATAGATTAGATCAAGATTATATATATATATATATAAGTAAGAACTCATTAAATTTTTTTTTTTTCATATGTTTATAGATTTTTCCACAAAATTAATTTGAGATTTGAAAAAAATAATAATCATGTAATTATTTGAGAAAACTGTTGTCAGCGTAGAGGGGAAAAAAGGAACAGAAGTATAGAGGGTTTTTTAGCATTTAGAGTAAATAAATTCTATATCTAAACCTGATTTCATAATTTTTTATCACTTTTTATATGTAATTTTTTAATATTTTTAAACTATTATATGTGTAAAAGATAATATTAATATTAATTTTGGATTAGATTATTATTGAATTGCATCAAGATAAATTTGTATTTGATTTATTTAATAAACAAGTTAATTAGGCTTGAAATAAAAATTATATATCAAATCTATTTAATTATATTGGAATTGAATCGTATTTATATCAAAATCTATACATTGAAAACCCTATTTATAGTTATATGTATATATTGACGTGCTAACTATAATTTTTTTTAAACGCTCTTATTTGTTCCCGAATCCTTGGCGGTAATGAACTTTTTTTCATTTATCTGTGTCATTATCTCTCTCATTGATTGTTGCTACATTGCAATGGTGTCCTATCTGATGGGTTGAAGATTTCGAAAAAACGAATGCATTTTGTTTGTTCAATTTGTTGGTTTTTTTTTTTTTTTTTTTTTGCAATAAAGAATTTATTTGAACAACCCAAGACTCTTGTAATTTCACAAGCTTTTTTCTTCATTTGCATTTATTTAAAAAAAAAATTATTGCAATGCAATGCATGAGTAACGATGGATTTACAAAGGACTCCAGAAGCAAGATATTTGATTTAAGGGAAAAAAAAACTCCTAATATTCATACATCAGGACGATCAAGATAGCGATTATATATACACCAGCACTATTAATCTAGTACCACATCATCAAATTTAGGAATGACAATAAACATATGCCTGACCTATTAATTTAAATTTTTACTATATCTATTAACTATTAAAAAATTATTATATAAATTTTTATCTAATCCATATTAGCTTACCTACTTATTTAGTATCCATTTAATACTGTTAAAATTAATTTATAAAAAATATTTAATTTGGTCAATGTAATTTTCTAGAAAAGTTGTTTTTTTTTTCCCTTCAAATTTATTTATTTTTTTTATCATTTATTTATAATTTTTTTGATCCTCAAAGTGTTTGAAAAAAGATATTTTTATTCTTAATTTTTAAATTTTATACAATTAAATCTCTTCATGTTAATAAAAAAAATAAAATAAATTAATGGATATTGATAAGATAAAAAATAGATACCCATATCTGAAATATATTTTTTTCTCCTACGTAATTTAATATATATTAAATATTTTTAATAAATATTTATTGAATCTATCAAACATATTAGATTCATATCCATATGATTGCCGCTCCTAATCAAATCAAACATCAACTGATGGGGTCTCCGTTCCCAAATCCCAAGAACTCGAGGTCCATCAGGAACTTCCGTGGCTTCTCTATTCCAAATTAATTTCCCAATCCAAGCCGTGTTAATTAAAAACATCAAAGAGTTTTAAAGGAATTTTTCTGTGTTCTTCTGATTTTTCAAGACCGGCCTTTTCGTCTCTTATAATCTTTCTTCAGTAATTAAATACATCACATGTTTTTTTTTTTTTTTTTAAGAAATAATTTTGCAACTTATGATATGATATGATAATTGAGATCTATTCACTATTAACTATACTATTCTCTAATACAAATAATAATAATAATAAAATAGAATTGAAATCTTAGGAGTTCAACAAACATCTCTCAAACATCATTTAAGTAATGCATATATGAAAAAAATAAAAGTCGTGGTCTCAATTGAAGTAGAAACTAATTTAAAAATATTTTATTGTATTTAAATATTAAAAAAAATACATATATTAAAATTATATATAATTTATTATTGCACTATATTTTCTTCTTATAAGTATATATATGAAAATTATAGATAATCATTTAAGAAATTAGTTATTCTCTTATTGCTTAAAGATTATGATTCTACAATTATCAACAAAGAGATAAAAATAGATAGTAATTGTATATTTATCAAAGTGCAATATGTAATTTATATATCTTAAAAAAATTATATATAGAAAGAAATGGGAAAAAGAAAAAAATATCTAAGAAAGGTGTATTAAGCACTATGCACATGCGGGGTGAATTGTATATTATTAACCATTTTAATTTTGAATTCATGCAATTAATAAATTTAATCAATGTTGTTAAAAGCCTCTCATAATTGATAATGGATAGTAGCTAATACAAAATGCAAAGGTCAGCCTTCCAACAAAGAAAAATATTGGTTGGTTCTATTACAATTCTCTCCTCAACAACATACACTCTCCACTTGCCAAAAAAAAATTAGAAAAAACCACATACATCCTCTTAGGAAATCCTCCGTCGTGCAAGTGCCTAAAAGAAACGAATGGCCCAAAGTTGCAATACTTGTTTCGGTGGTGGCATCAATGTTTGTTTTGGTAGTGGTGAAGGATCAGGAATAAGAGGAGATGATAGTGATATTGATAACGATGGAGAAGATAATAAAAAACCTGAGTTGCAACCATATCTAGTGAAAGAGCAATTGCCCGAAGTCGAATATTGCGTTAATAGTCCTCCATGGCGTATGCTCCAGAATCTCTCTTTTATTCATGCATTTTTTAGGGAAGCCTTCTGTCTTTTCTTTTCTTTTCTTGTCTTTTTTTCGGATTGAGCATTATTTCATGATTGCGTTATATAGAAAAAATAGTTAGTAATTGTGAGAATTTCCGAGAAAAATAGAGGTAAAAATACGAATGAGGTGAGCTTTTCTTTTTATCATATTGTTTGTTGTTACAATTACAAAGCAGTACTTTTGGCATTAAATATACTTTTATACCCTCCTTTATAGTTTTCGAGATAATAATAATATGAAAGCGCGACGCCGTTTTATTATTATCGTTGAAATTGATAATTTTGATTAGATTTTTTTTTTCATGTGAATCGGATGATGTTTTTAGTCTAGGAATTTTCATTCAAAAAAAAACTCTGTTGGCATTTTGTTTTTCTTTACTTTGGAAGTTAAATTTGAAATTGCCACCAATTTGTTAGGTAAAGAATTGGAACGTTTTGGAGACCTTTTATTTTACCAGTTGTAATACCGAAAGAGATTGAAAAATTCAAAATCTCAAATGTACTGAAAAATGTCAAGTTTCCTTTCACTTGGATCCATCAATTTCTAGGACCCTGTGAGATATACTAGTCAAGGTACATAGCATGGGTTGTTGGGCTCCCTCGTTCGGATATCCTTAAAAATTCATGAAAAATTTAAATAAATTTACCATTTTAATCTTAAAATTCACAATATCTAAATTTTAAAATACTAATGTTATACACATAAAAATGCATGTTACCAGTATTGAAAAATTCACGTATTGAAATAGATTTAACTAAAATTTTAAATTTTTGATATAAAAAATAGATTTTTTAATAAACAAACACATAAAAAATTAATTTGATAAAATTGTCTTTATCGAGTAAAATAAATATTTACTAAAGATATTTGAAATCATAAGGACATAAATATCTAAAATAGTTATATTATTCTTATTAAAAATTAAGGATATATTAATTTAATCAATATTAATGATATGTATATTTAAGTCTAAAATACATTTCCTTTCTCTTGGACTGTAATTCCCATAATTTTAGAAAGAAATCACAATTTTTTTCTTTCAAGGTATTTTAATGCTTTAGAAAATACTAAATGCCTAAGCATTCGAGGTTCCTAGCGTACCAAACACATAAATACTAGCATCTCAAACAATTTTTCCATGAAAATCTTGAATGCCTCCGTACCGTACGGCCCTTTTAAGTTTGAGTTGACATAAATACGCAGCGGACTGCTATAGACTGCCGGGGACAACTCATTTGCATCCTATGTATCACTTAATCGTGTTTTAAAGCGAAATCATTCATTATATTTTTTTGTGTGCAGCCGAAACGCTTGTATCGGGTTTCCAACGCCATCTCTGAACTCTTGGCGTGACTGTTTTGATACGGTTTAATAACAAATTTTATCCTTCTTCTTATATGATTTGATAATTTTAAAGTTTATAGCATTAAATTATTTAATTTAAATTTTAAATGATTGATTTTTAGTTAAAATTAATTTAATTTTTTTAATTATCTTTATATGTAATTGATCAATTAAATTGATCGTTATTTAAAATATTTTTAATATTATGTTGTTAATTTTTAAAAAATATTTTTAATTCCTTAATCTTGAATTTTTTTAAAAAACAAATTCATATAAAATATTATAAATGTTTGATAAATTATATAAAAATACATTTTATAAATTTTTTTAACCCTCTAATTTTGAACCCTTTTTTTAACTTTTTTTATAATATATTATAAACATTTATAATTTTTTTATATATAATTTACAATTTTGAGATTATTTTTATCAATCATAAATTTATGTAATCTTTTGAATTTTTAGGGAATTGGGTTTTTATACAATGACATTTTTGGTTCTGTGACTGGCTTTATTGCATCAGCGCTGTAATGAATTTAAATTTATGCTTTCCTATTTTGGGTTAATATGTTCTAGTTTTATGTTTATGCTTTCCACTTAGTATATGATTTATGACATTCAACAACATCCAATCTCATATATTTCTGAATGCTCAAGGAAACATTTCCAAATTTTCTAGACACGAAGTTATAAATTGTATTGTCGACATTGTACTTTTTATTATAATGATTCCTATAGTATAATTTATATATTTATTGAAAAATTAACATCTTCATCGAGCTATTTGAATAAGGAAATTGCAGGTTTGTTGGCATTGACAAAAGTAGGAAGTCGAAGAGTGATTCAAGTATCGGTTGGATTTACGATTTTCTTCTCTCGATTTGGCGATGCATCGACTTGCAGTGCATCTTATAAGCTTAAGTTTGAAACCCCTTTTTTTTCGATTTCTGTGTTTCCCATGATAGCTAGTTGATGTCCTTGATCAGGAAAATTTGGAGTATTTTTCGCATCAATACCTCTACCAATCATAATTGCTTTATATTATGTTTTGTTATATATATCCCATTTCACCAAGATATAGTGAAATATTTTCTTTAAGGAATTATGTGTGAAATAATTGAATTATCATATTTCATTTATACTTATTATTAATAAGCGAATAGAAAATTCAATTCTAACAGTGGCCTTTAAATTTTGTACACAGCTTCTGCAGATCTTGGTTTTCTTAAATTTTATAACCTAAATAATTTCAAAAGAAAGCTCATACTGGGATTCTCTTTCTTTGTTGGCATTTCGATCCCATAATACTTCAGAGAATACTATTAATATGTGCATGTGCACGCTATTTATAGATGGGTATTATTCGTGCGATGATCTTTATATATTTGTTTGTTAAGTTGTGAAAATTGACGTTGAAGGAGACTCATAATATAAGGCATTATTCATACACACACATGATGATTTACAAAATATTGGGTCAAATGTATAAATTTATTAGATATTTTTTTTATAATCCTAATTGTCCGCATTATAAATAAAGACAACATCATTTATATTTATATTCGTCACTTGATAAATCTTAATAAGAACTTCTAGTATAATCATGAATTAAATATCATTATCGAATTACGTAAAATCTTTATATTATGTGATTGTGCTGTCTTTTTACTATATTATTTTACTTAGATTCGTTTCCAAACGAATAGTATCAAAGCTCTAGATTAGCAAAGTAAAAAGGAACGGTCGCAGAAGAAGGAAAAGTCAGGAGTGATAAGTTTGATGAAAAAGATTTCGAATTCAAAAAGATATAAGTTGAAGATTATCTGTATCAGAAAAAATTACATGAACCTTTATCAGAAAAGAATACAAATGGGATAAAAGATGCTAAACTGGGTTTTGGTGGATAGGCAGGCTTTGGGTGTTATTCGATTGACGTTGATGCAAAATATTATTTTCAACATGGTGAAAGAAAAGATCACAATAGACTTGTTTATCCACTGCAATTATAGTTTCAAGATACAGTGATCGTCATCTTCATGTCCCATACAACTGTGGCTGCTTAGGTTGCATTGTTCTTGGATTGCACGCTGGCACAAGAAAATGATGGCACAATGAAAGACACTGGCTTGAAGTGGCGGGAGAAATTCAGCTTGTACAGTTCAGTTCAGATGTTAGAAATGATGAATTCTATGCACTTCCATGCAGGCTGAATGAGCCGTTCCCTGCCCTTTAACTTTGACATTTGATTCTATATTGCCTTTTGTTATGTTTCTCTACGGATGAAAGGAATGAGACACTAAAAACGGTGGGTTTGCTTTGTAACTATGATTCCATTATGACGCTTTGTTAGGCAACTCTTGCTGAAAAGCCTACTCTAATCTTTAGTTGAAATTTCATTTTTATTTTTTTATTTTTTTCATTGCTGTTATATTTCGTTTTTATTTTATTTCATTTTTATCAGGAAAAATGCTACTTATCTGCAAGCAATTACTTACAGGTCAATTCATTTTCTTACAAATGAGGGAAATGTTAGGAAGCATCGATCTCTACTCAATAACTTATTTAATTCATTTTGAAAAGCTAGAGAGACTGATTTATAATTTACTCAAAATTTGCCTGATATGCTTCAAAGAACTGATTTCTGCAGGATTCAGTTGGACCTCGTGAATTGTGTTCCTTCCTTATCCAACATTCCAGATCTCCAAAAGTTTAAAGTCAATTTGAGAGCATCTTTGCCTTCAATTAATGGACTTTCTTGCATCACTTTCAGGTCATAATATTTGGCAACCTCTCACCAACTGCTTGCCAAAGCGATTCGCCCAGACATATCAGACAGATAATGTTGTGGTAATATCTTATGCCTTGCAGCCTTGCAATTAACGTCTCATGGTGCATCGTTAGCCTATCTTCTGGTTCCCTTTAGCTATAATTATATGTTCTTATTCTTTTTTTTTTAATGATTCCACGAGGAATAGTCGAACGTGTTATATGGGAAATTAGATTAAGTTACGTTACCAAACCAGAGATACAGGAAGTACTGACTCACTTTCCCTAGATGTCTATGCCACTTTCGCTTGATGTCTCTTGAACACCATTACGGCTTGTTGTATTACATGTAGCGTTACTTTGCCACTGAATTTAGGAAATGCCCATGTTCTGTGGGACTTTTCAATCTTCATAATTTTTTACTCCGAACTATCAACAAGACTAATCGGCGCTTATTTCACCTTTCTCTTTCTTGTGAGCACAGTGGCACCATTTTCTATGCTCTAAAAAAACGTAGTTTTAACTGTAGACTCTAATGACACCTGAACTATTAAAAATTGCTGACACCTTATGCAAATAGAACTATAAGCATTGGACAAATGCGTTTGTAATTAAGAAAATGAGAATAATTTCTCTTTGATGTGCTATTGTTGTTCTGCAATTAGTAGTTGAAGTTAACAACAAACATTTCATCTAACACATGCAGCAAGTTGTAGAAGATGATTAGATGGACAATATCGCTTCCGTGCGTTTCATCCAATCGCAAGATGGCCATGTTCTGCTTGTTAGCAAGAGCAACATGCCACCTGTTTTCCTCTCACTCAGAGAGAGGATGTCTTATGCAGAGAGTTGACTATGCATGCTCTGCTGCTCTAATTGCAACCTCCGGCATTTACATTGGGTTCATCAAGTATTAGGCTTTGTTACTATCATCTTTTACCTCCTTCCAATGTTTCAGAAGCCAGGAATTTAGAAGCTTTCGTGCTGCGCTCTTCTTTGGGATGGGCCTGTCAGGTGTGGCACCTCCTCTCCATAAGAAGATGCTCTACGGAACCCACCTGAGGCCCTCCAAAACACAGGTTATGAGAGCCTGAATCTTGTGTGGAATTGGAGCATTGATCTATGCTCCAAGAATTCCTGAGCGATGGAAGCCACGCAAGTTTGACATTGCCGGGCACGGTCACCAGCTTTTTCACGTGTTGGTTGTTGCAGGTGCTTAAACACACTATCAAGCTTGACTAATTTACATGATCAGATGGCGGGACTTGAGTGGTTGTTAGAAAATCAAAGGAACACAGATGGCTTTTTGTTGATTTGATATCCTTAAACTAATATCTCTACTACTTGTCTTGATTGCTGAAATCTTAATTCAACTAGGATTATGTAGTATTCAGGTTAGCAGAACAAATTAATTCAAAACAAAAATAAATAAATAAATAACAATTTTACGTTGCTTTCATTGAGAGTCGAACTCAAGACCTCCCGCTTACTAAACGGGTGCTCTAACCAACTGAGCTATGAAAGCTTGTTGCTTTAAGTTTCCTATATCTATATATTTATATATTATGTTTTCCTGTTCTTTGAAATGAACCGATCCAGTGGGGGCATTTGTCTCGCAACGCCTGTTTCAAAATACATATGCACTCGCAGTAAGAATGTGCCCTCTGTGACAGATGAGCATTTCTGTTTTTTTTTTTCGTCTTGTGTTCTTGTGTTATTCCCACTCTATATTTCTTAAAAATTTTATAAATAAGCATCATTTGCCTTATATTTTATTTTGAATGAATCATATTTTAAAATGCAAGAAAATATACAGGTTATAAGTTGTACCATTTAGACAAACATGTATGAAGGTGAATTTTTAAAAGATTTAACTAATATATTATTTATTAAAATCAAGAAACCCCATAAACACAGTTTAACAAGAAAAGATATATATAGTGTGACCAATACTATCTGGATTAAATTTAATTTGTCCAAATACATTTGAAAAAAAATTGTGAATTTGAATTCAATAATTTACAAGAATTTTCATTTAGCCGTAGCAGGTTAGATTCATGCAATGCCTAAATTTAATATCATCATTAACAAAAAGTATATAAATTAATTATGATGTTTTGGTCTTATTTAATTAAAATACCGAACCCCTCTTGACAGTGAACGATCTAAATCAAAAATTACATTCCATGTTTTGATTAGTCTTTTGTAGTTGTCTTACAGTTCTCCAAATACTGGCATATAGGTTAATTGATACCATCACCTTAATATGGAGCAGAAAACTAGATCATGGACATGTGCTTGTGCAGCTGTGGGGTTAGAGCTTTAGACAGATCAAGGTGTGGCTTTATATAGTTCTACAAAAAGAGATCATGTCATTTTTCTCTGTGCAGGAAGATTTCAAAAGGTCTCCTGGTCTTTTATGCTAGCTGCGACTGTTTCCATAGCTCCAGTCATTGAAATTCATTGCAACTACCCAAATTAGATTCTTACCACGTTCGGACAACACTAAAATCTAAACAGGAACCTACCTAGTGGCGAAATAATTTGCCACAAGGGGTCAAGCAAAAATCTTGCGTACCACCAAACAGGTGATCGGCAGATCCTGACAGTAGATTGGCTAGAAATCTGTAGAAATTTTATGGTGAAATATATTCGTACCTTGTTGCTGATCTGTAACTTGTTTGAAAGCCATAAAATGGCAACCCCTAAAAACATGGCGAGTTGTACCCGGATGGCCTCTTCATTTCTATGGCAGCCACATGTTTTCTCTATCGATACTTGTTCATATATATATATCTTGTGTTCAAGTTCTTTTGGATATAAATTCACAAATGAGTTGTGTTGGATCACATTCATAATATACTCTCATAGTAAAATCTTTTTAATCTGGACTCGGGGATTTATCTAGCCATGTAATGCTTTTTTTTTTTTTTTTTGGCTATATAATTCAAGTTGGATCCTTGAATTTTACAATTTTTTTCGAGTCTGAACTTGAAATTTCAAATTTCAACTATTGAAATATCTCCTATTGAGGTCAAAATTGAATCTATGTAAAATTAACGTATGAAAGAAACAAATCAAATGATACTCCTTAGTCCTTATTAATTCTTGTTGGTGCTAAAATGAAAAATTTACAGCAAGAATATTATTTATAATATTCTGTACGTATAACCACGTAGTCAAGCCAAGGTATAGATATATCGTTTTCTTAAATGAGATTTAAGTCTTCTTAGTTGTGAGTTACAATAACAATTAGTGCAACAGACCTTCCCAACAATTTGTCCTCTTTAAGAAACGATAATATATCCATCGTCTGATTCAACTTAATCTCTACAAAAGTGAGTAAATCTAATTAAAATGCCACTACATAAACACTCTTCTTGGATTGTTAAATACTCTCAATGATTAGGCGATTAATATTATTATGATGGAATACTTTGCTAATATTTTTTATCTCTCACTATTGCTATTTATATGTGTTAGTAAACATATAATTCATTAGTTAATTAATAATTTTGTTCGTTTATTTGTTTTTTTATTAGCTTATCGTGAAGTTTCTAATTTTAATATGAAAATGTTACTACAAGTGTCATTGATAAGATCCATGGAAAGCGAACCATAAGTACATTGAATTTGTTCTCCAAATAACTAGGAGAGAGAAGGTTTTTTTTTTTTTTTCCCAGAAACCGTACTGTTTTGATCTGAAGAGTGGCAACTCATTGGACCGGCTAGGCTAACCTCACCAACCGAGCTATATAAAGTTGTTGATAACACCCAATTGATGGACCAAAGGTTTCAAAATCTCGAGCTGGTTGGCACTACATATTCATTTAATTTTGAATTTTTCGAAAAAAAAAAAAACAAAAAGAAGAGGATAATCCACCATCTTACCATAGTTACTGTTTTGTTTCGTTTGATTGATGAGAGTCGTGCAGCTGTAAATCACAATTGATAAGTCAAGAAGTGGGGTTAATTAGCATTACTAGTGTCAGTTTGAAACCAACCAAGCTGTGCAATGGAGCTTCTGTTGAAGGAATGGATGGTCACTCATTGGTGAGTTAGTTAGGTCCACTCGAATAATTTATTAATTAGTGTAAATTGCCTGCATTATTGGCTTGTGAAGGTTTCGCAGTCGGAGATATTTCTTTATATAAAGTGGGGAAAAAAGAAGACTATTCATTAGGTTGGCACCTTAGTCGCCGGAGGACATCTTTGACATAGTTGTAGGAGACAATTCTTGCCAAATTCTTGATACTTTGTGATCCTAATTAATAGCTTACCGAATACCGATCAACCGATAGACAATACACACGAACGAATATGATTAAGTATATACCACAATGTTGATTAGGATATGCACGAGTTCGGAAATTTCGGGTGGAAATTGTGGACTTCAAATTCTTATTTTCCCTCCAATCATGTAAAGGGTAGCAGATAAAGGAGACAGATTGATGCAGACGTATAAAGTAAAGGGATTGGGGAATTTATTAGTCCGAATGGATTAAATTGATGATTAAAGAGAATTGCAATTTTATTTACTTAGATAAATATATTTATTTATTTTTATATAATACTCAAAGTTTTTCATTGTTTTTAAATTTTTAATTACATCTTATTTGTTTTTGAAAAATCTTAAAATATTTAATATGTTCTTTCGATCAATTTTTCTGATAAAAAACAAATATTTTAACCGAGATACTCTTTATTAATATATATATAAAGCTTAAAATCACATTATCTATATTTTTTAAAAAAAATTTCAAAATTTTATTTTATTACATTTTAATCAGAAACATTTTGGTTAAAAAAAAATTATACAATCGAAAAAATTAATAAAAAAAAATTAAATATTTTAAAATTTTTTAGAAACAGATTGGATGTAATTAAAAAATTTAGTGAAATATTAAAAAACTTTGAGTATTTATGTAAGCACGTATAGGTATGTTTACTCTATTTGATTTTATATATGAGAATTCATAATTTATTAGTATCATTTTGAATGTACAAAACATACATGTGGCCACTTTTCTGTGAAAAACAAAAGTATTAATGGACGGAGGTTTGACTTTCATTTTTATGGATAGAGACTTGGGGTTTGTTTGCTTTAGCTATGAAAAAGAAAGGAAGCAGAGAGACTTGGTATTGGAAGGGAGGGGAGTCTGAATGTGAAAGATGGTGGTGTTTCCACGATACATAGTGTAGCAACTGGCAGGTTTTTGACCTTGCCGTTGCTGGGGACCATCTTGGCAAATCTCAAACAGCGACCAAAGCCCATACTTCGGTGATTTTATATTTGAACATGAGGAATCTACAATGCGATACTGTTATATAGGTCAGATTTTAGGACTAAAACCATTAAAATCGAAGCCTACCAAGTATGCAACAGGGGAAGATATATCAAATATCTACCAAGTATCAATTTATATATGATTGAAAAAATCAATTTGTTTACGTAACAACAAAATGAGTCGAAACAATATTGTTTTTTTTTCTTTTTTGGTAATTTTTAGAAATCTTTTGCGCTTAAAGATGAAGTTTTTTTCTTTATTGGATTTTAAATATATCCTTTACAACGGAAATAGTGTATTTATGGTAAATTTCTTTTTTTTTATATAGTTTTCTTTTAGATTCAAAATTGAAATAATAACATGTGAAGTATACTCACTTACCATCCAAACTCATCCCTAAAGAATTTGAAACAATAATAATTGGTATTGTTAAAAAGTTGAAAAAGAAAAAAGAAACAAGCAGGAAAAGTAAAATTATAAAAACGAATCAGACGGAATATAAGGATATATTTTAACCCCGTTACTAGATACATAGACGAACCAAAGCGGATATAGATGTTGAATATGATTAAATGTAGTTTAGCTTTGAAACCAAGCTTCAAGCTCAGTTTTATTATCGTGTGTGTAAAAGGAGAGATTTATTGTTTCTTTTCAATTGTTAAAAAAAAAGAAAATGAACAACTAATAAAAATGGAAAACAGAAAATCTAGGAAGCCAACGGAGTCCATACACATGAATTACGGATCATGGACTGGCAAAGGGCCACAAAATAACAAAGGGCATGTGCACATTAGTGCATGGGGCCATTTTGAATCAGACGAAGATCTTAACTTGGCCCCATGATTGATCTTTTCAATTAGTCACAGTTCATGATCATTGTATCAAAAATCAGCTAGATTTTGATATTATTTGAAGCTAATCACTGATTTTTGTCACTTGTTTTATGACATATGTAATTAACAAGCGAGCACCTCCTATGCGATAGAGAGGCACATAAAAACAAATTTTTAAATTAAGATGATTTTTTGACGTGATATTAGAGTTTTATTGATTAAATGATCACGAGTTTAAATTTCACTATCTTTATTTTTTTTAATTAATTAAATACAAGATAATATAAGTATTTTTAGACTCAAAAAAATTTTTACTGATGATTCTTGACACTTTATAGCCACTTTCATGAAAATTATTGCATGCATCGGTTTTTAGTGAACCAAAGGTATTCGGTTGGTTGATGCAATAATGGATGTTGAGAAATTTTTACTCCCTATGGATTAGGTTTATGCAAATATAATGATTTTTTGTCAATTTCTTGCCTCTTGACGTTTCCTTTAATTTTGTAAGCAACATTGAAGGCAAACCTCTCGTGGAAACCGTTTATGAGTTAGATTCGGAATTTAGACCCCAAAGCTAAGAGCGCCCGATGATTCCATAGAAAATACACATGAGCCAGAGATCTCAACAGGAATAGTTGTCGCTAATTCGAAGGCTATCCTGTAATATTTATATTGAGTCGTATGAATTAGTTTTGACATTATTTCGGAAAAAGAATCACAACATTATTGGTAGGGTCCCATGAACAGCTAACTTGGATGTACGAGGGAGGATTTTCTACCTTAAAATGGGATACTTTTTTGTCATTAAGCAAATTGCACCATATATTTGGTTGAACCACAGGAAACTAGTCGTACATCATTTCCTGTTTTTCCAATTTTACACGAACAAGTTCATTATTGCACTTATTGGTGTCGTGCAAGATTTTACGTGGAAGCTATTTAATTTATAAAAAAGGTTTTAGATTATAAAAAATAATTTACAAACAAAATTTTCAAAATAAATTTCATTGTAAAACCCCGATACGTAAATTTATAGATGTTTTTTTTGTTTTTTTTGTCTGATCAATGGAAATATTATTGTCAATATCTAGATGTATATCTGCCAAAAATGATTATCCAATCAAAACTTTAAATAATATACTTTTGTAAAAGACATTCAATTGATAAAAAAATTAATTCTTTCTTTTATTTAATGTTCTTAATTAATCAAAAAAAATTAATGTTCTTTATTTTTTTTACATATACAAATACATTTAACATAAAAAATTTATACAAAATTTTTTTTATTAAATGAAAAATATTTATTCTTTTAAAAACTTTACTATGTGTCAAAATTTCGAAAGTAAAATGTTTCTATTAGTATCTTAATTTTTTATAAGTATTTTAAACTTAAATGTTAATTGACTTGATAAATTTTTATTTACCACTTTAATTTTAGATAAATTTTCTCTTTAAATTAATATTGATTCCATGTAATACATGATTAAATTTAATCACTAATAATTTTAATAAAAATTATGAACAAAAAATTAATATAGCATCACAATTATCCCAAATTTTTTTAAAACTACATAAAAAATTTTAAAAAAATGGAACAGATGGAGTAGTTAAAATGTAAATCTCGTTAAAAAAAAAAATTGCGTCACACATGAGTGATAATTTTGTGTAAAAAAATTATTATAGATACTTTTAACTACTTGACATTAACAAATCAAATATAATTGAGTGGCAGCATTAATTTATGTTTTTAGTCAAGGAAAAATCTATCGTGGTCAAGCGCACGAGTGTGTGCCTTTACCACCTAAAAAGACCTAAGTCTCCTGGTTAAGAGAAGTGAACAGCAAAAGGGTCAAGGCACTCGCTCGGTTTGGTGGTAACAGTGAGTGAATGAGTGAGTGATTAAAACAACATGGACCAACAAGCGTGGGGACAGGAAGGGAAAAAAAAATCTGATTTGTTGTGTACACTCTTCGAATTTGGATGCATTAATTCTGTCAAATTGGATAAAGCAACTTTAGACATTAGAGGCATCACCAGATTCTACACAATCTGCTAGTGTTGAATTTGAACAGCAGGATTCTTCAGATTTTAAAATTGTATGTCCCAAATGCATTGTAAGATGTGAATGATGCACATTAATGCAATATTTTTCAAACCTGAAATAAAGAATACAGTGAAAGTTGATCTCCCCATCTCTTTTTCTAGTAAAATTTTGTCTACTTGGAAGAAATTTAAATTAGATATATAAAAAATTGATCCAAAAATTCTCTAATAATGAAAAAAAATATTAGGAAATTTTATCAAACATTACCAATAACTAATTAATAGCTTGACATTGCTATTTCTATTCTAGAATAGAATCAAAAAAATCGATCAACATATCTTTACATAATAGGAACAATTTTAACTAGAACTTGAACAAGAAAAATCAAGTTAATAAAACCTTATTAAAGTCTTTAATACGTATTTTTATTCGTAATGATTTTTAAATCTAGCGAATCTGTTGATAAAATATCAAATATTCCCTTGACCCACATTAGCAACAAAAAAACCCGTAAAAATTAGAATAAAAAAACTAAAAGTTTACACGATTAATTAAAAAAATTGAAGCATCCGATAAATAAATAAAAAGAAAAATGGATCATATAAAAATTAATCCTAGAATTATTGCCAAAAAAAATAAACTTCAATCCCTTATATGTTTCAGTTTTCTTCTTTTTACTGAAATATTCTTCCATTTTTTTTGAAAAAAAAAACACCAATAATACAAGAGTCAAGAACCAACCAAAATTGATCCATTTTTTAGTTTTTTTTTTTCTATTATAAGTTTGGGTGAGGATTCGAGGAATTTTTAATCAAATTTCCAATTTTTTTTTATTAATTAGAAGTTTTAGGCTTTATTTTTCAAATTCTTTTTAGGATGGTTTTGTTTGTTTAGTAATTAGTTTGAGTGTTTTTTAAAAAAAAAGAAAAATTATTGAAATTTTATTTGCATTTTTTGTCATTAATATAGACTAGTGGTATTTTGGACAATTTTTTAGTAGATCCATTAGATTTAAAAAATATCGCTACCAAAAAAAAATCTATTAGGGAGTTTAACAACTATAAGAAATATCAAACAAAGAGAAGGAAAAACAAGGAAAATGGTAGTCAGCTAATAGCCTAACATTGACCCCATTCAAGAAAGGTCCCCCTAGGATCAGTAGTAGAGTAAGCTGGAAATTAACCGTTTACCTTGTCATTAATGTTTACCAGTTGGTGTGCTTTCCTCTCTCACTCTCGCATGTATACATACATATACAACTGGCAATTCTGATGGATCCACATACAGATAAAATAAGAGAGGGGCGAAAGGATCGCGCAAAGGACAAAAATAGTCTTGGATTTGAATATGAATCGTTCGGCTTTTTCTTAGCCCTATTCTTCTTTCTCTTCTATTTATATTGAGCTGAGAAGAAGCATCAAGTGAGAGAGCAGTCGTTTGCGTTGTCATTCTTTTTCCCTGTATATATATCACTACTATTACTGTTAGTAACAAGTAGCTTCTGTAAGAAAGCCCATTTTGGGTTAGGCTTCAAAAAGACTGATAATGAATATGTCAGCTTCTCAGTATATTAGCAGTGGGTGTGAATCTGGTTGGACATCATACTTAAACGAATCCTCTAATTCAAAAAACCAATATCGGGGTTTTGGTGGGTTTGTTGATGGAGATTATGCTAGGGTAGAGGGTGAACAAGAGGAGGATTTGTCTATGGTTTCTGATGCATCCTCTGGACCTCCTCATTATCGTGAAGATGATGAATACTGCTGTGATAAATTGGCCAAGAAGAGCAAAAACAAAAGGAAGAGCAAAGAATATGGTAGAAGCCAACAGCATTCATATCTTGATGACACCGCTAGCTCTCCTGCATTGGGCAAGGCAAGTTGTTCAAAAGAAATTACTACGTATATAATTTCATCTTTCACCTATTAATATGGAAACACATTTTTATATATTCAAAATGAGCTTCTCGATATTTATGTAGAAAGCGAACAATGAAGGTCCAACCGAGCTTGTCCTGGAATCATCCCAAGGTTTCTCTGCAACACATTTCAAGGTACTTGTCGATGTTAAGTTTTTTTCAGATTTTTTTTTTTTTTTTTCATTTTCGTATCCATCTCTTCACCTCTTCATATAATTTGAATGCGATTAAGGCCAAATCTGCGCAGAGTAAAAGGGAGGATCGCTTCCCTTCCTCCTCTTCTTCTTCTTATTATTATTATTTGCACATCTCTTTTTGTCGTTGTACTTTTCCTATATATGTATATAATGGAAGGGTCTTCAACGCATTTGACCTTGTACTTTTCCATTTTATAATGGAAGGGTCTATCAACACAGATGCAAGTTGTACAAATTATTACACGATACTATAATTTTTTTTATTTGTTGTGTTTTTTAATCAACCAATCATTAGAAAGTTGAAAATCACTGTTCATTTATACAACTATTAAAATTAAATGCATTAACTGTCTTTCCTATCTAATTAATTGACTTGAAACCTGACATGCATATATGATAGGTGATTAAAAGTCTACACATAATCTATGTGATAGATCAGAAAATTGTATGTTGCATAATAATTTATATGACTTGCTTGTATAAGTGAATTTATACAAATTATTGCACGATACTATAATTTTTTATTTGCTATGTTTTTGAACCAACCAATCGTTAGTAAGTCGATAATCGCTGTTCATTTATATGTATATATTAAAATCAAATTAAATTCAGTCTTTCATAACTAATTAGATTAGCTTGAAAGTTGATATATGACATGGATGATTAATTCTATACATAATCTATGTGATATATCAAAAAAAAAATATGTTGGCATAATAATTCACATAACTGGCATGTACAAGTGAATCTATCTTATATATGTGTGTGTGTACACATATGTGGTGGGCAATACCAATGCCATTTCAGGGAAAATCTTCACTCAAGAAGCACCTTGGATTCTTTCAATCCTCACATGCTGAAAAGGCAGCTTCAAAAGAACCAGGCCAGACTTTGTTCCCTTCCTGATTGGTAATCTTTATTCTAAAACTATAAACTTTATAAGGATCCATTAATAGTTCTATTGTCTCAAATTTGTGATGGTTAATCTATTGGCAGGTGGTTTTCAGGCAAGAAAATGGAGATGACAAATTGTAATGACTAGCATCTTTTTTTCTTTGCCGCTGCAGTTACTCTAGACTTGGAGAGAGAAGTGAAAGGAGTGTGGAAGAAAAATAGGTCATTGGATCTCAAATGGATTTGGTTCCTTTGTTTTTATTTTTGTTTTTTCCAAATTCTAATTCTACTCCTCTTTATTTGTTCCTGTCAATGCAGTGGGAAACAACCTGTGAAAAAAAAAAAAAAACTAGTTTTTTGTCTTTAAGACACTCCCTTTTATCTTATTTTGTTCCCCTTCTTTTGTCACCATTGTAATGATCGCATAAAGGAACTAATAGGTCTTCTGTGCAGTCTTGCCTCTAATTTTACTAGTGCAGAATCAAATTTATACATCAGCTTGCTCAGAGGAATATAACTTAATATTCAACAAAAACGTTGCAGAAAGCAATATGTCTAATATGGAGGCTCAAGCTTTAGTTGATTTGTTAAAGAAGTTGATTAACGATGGCTACTCTGGAATTCAGGAAGGAAGGAGGAAACAAAAAGAAAAGCTAGTTAAAAAAAGATTGTGGTCCTTCGAAGAACAGAGTGTCTCAACATTAGGCATCGATGACCGGGGTATCCGTTTGTACCCCACCTAAGCGCACACACATGCACAGATTGAGGAGAGAAGGCCATGAATAAGCATGATAATCCTGGAGGCCAATAAGTGACCCACTCTCTTGCTCTTCTGCAATTACCAGCCTAGCTTAAAAATAGGTAGGGTTTGTAAAATTGGCAACCCATGCCCTTCTAGACTCGAGCCATACAGTTTTTTTAGATGGAAGGAACCAAAAGGGGAGCCTCATTTTCTACCAAAAAGGACCAAAAGAAGCAGCGCCCCACCACCCCTAGATAGCCACCTGCTAAGAATGTGTGGTCCATACATAATATTGGTTGCAATTATTGAATTCGTTTTGGTGGGTTTCTTTCAAAATCTTTATTGACGGGGCTCCTATCCTCCGAATTAGAACTCGTGTCTTGGAAAAAGACTCGGATTTTATTAAAAGGACAAGACCCTCACTTTGTCCTGCCAACCCTCCTTTATTGTAGTTTCTACTTCGTGAAAACAAGTTGACAGTACAGGACAATGATTAAGATTAATCCATGCCAACTATAGGATAATTGTCCGATCAAATAACTGAAGAAATAAGGATAGAATCATTTGAGGAGACAAACCAATATTTAACTTGACAGATAATTATTCGTAGCAATCAGATCCAGTTACAGGTAAGTTGAGGTGAAGAAGAAAAAAGAACGAGCACAGGAAACTTTCATGTGGAATTCAAGCCCTACAATTACTAAATAAGTATAAAGGCAATTCTAATTAATCAACAGATGTTGCCATGCTGGGCAGGCAACTTCTTGGGACACCCTAATCAAAAACCAAGATAAATGATAAATATGCAACCGAAGGAGGATTTGGTTGCAAGGGCATCCAAGGATAGAAGCAAAACTGGAACCATTGCAATCATCCCGACAGGATGTGAACAAAACTTAAAAATTGGCCAGGTTTTCATACAACCCTGCAACCATTACCAGAAATAGGGTTCACTGTTATCATTCCAGATCGATATATATATAAGAACATAGTAGATCCATAAGAAAGGATAGGCAGACACATAAGAAAAGTCCATTCTGCATTTCGTTTTGAGCAAGATTTAGGATAGGCAGACACATAAGAAAAGCCCATTTCTGCATTTCATTTTGAGCAAGATTTATGATTTTGACTCTTAAGACATGACTACTGTGGTCCACAATGCGAAGAAAAAACAATCACTACTGGATCGGATCAATTAACTTAAACATCAAAAACACATGTATTGAACAAGGCTAAAACATGGTTAAGACAAAATTGCTATTTTAACATGTTAACAGCAATTCTTTTAGGAAATACAATGCACAACTTGCCTTGGACCCCCATAATCCCCACCTCCACCCCCAACTCACCACTAAGAAAACAAAATTGTGATGTCAATAATATGGGATCGAGTTGGCACATCTTCATTCTCATCAAGCCTGTAAAGAACCCTTGACGTAGCTGTTATGTCCCAAATATATGTCTGTGGACAGGTTGGGCATTAAAAGTTTTAACCACATCCATCCATGGTTTGTCCATAATCAAGACAGAATTTTCTGAAAGGTGGCCAATAAATAAAACAGGATCTCTGAAAGCAAGAATTTCAAAGTTTTTTCTATGTTTAGCCTCTGGTTGATATTCTTTCAACCTGCGTTTCAGTCCCCCATTCATGGTAGTGGTTTGTAACTTCTTCAATGGAGCATGCTGACTGTTTACTAAATCACTATCTTCCTCTCGATCCACTGGCATCCCAAAGTCAATCAAGCACATCGCCCTACATAATAGGCAAAATCTCAAACATTATATTAAACATCAAAATAGATAGCAAAGAATGCTATATATGTATGGTTCTAAAGACAAGCCATGGAGGATTGAAGTTTAATCAATCACAAGTTCTGAGCCAGCCGTTTTACCCTTGAAACATACTCGAATCCAATTATCAACCCTTAAATACATACCAGATGGGAACCACTTTGCAAATCCATTCCATCTATTACATCCTGTCTATATCCCAAGATGTAATAAACACCGCTAAAACAGAGAAGAAAAAATAAACAATGGCCAAAGAAATAATTCAGAAATGCTTTATCCTCCGCATTCTACCAAACTTCACAAATCTTTTATGAAGCCAGTATCCCATACATAGTTGAAATTTACACCCCAAAACATAATGTTCAGACAACCTTCCTTAGAAGACCAAGTATGGGACTGAATGGATGGGAATGAAAGCTCATTCACTCCCCACTAAAAAAAGAAATAGGTGACGCCAGATGGACAAATTTACACACTAAAGCATTGGTGCAATCATAATTTAGTAAGTAAATAAGGGGAGAGCAGCACCTGGCACTATAAATGATAACAGAAGGAGGGCTTGACAGAGGCAGGAAAGAGAGCCCAATGACCTCCCCGGGAAATTCTTGGTATCTCTTGGGTAGAACAAATGTATGCCGCATTGACCATTCTCCCAACTGTTTTGCCTCCACATCAAATGCATAGACCTGATTTGAAGACGTTGTGATTACAAGCACATTGTTATTTTGAGGGGGAAACCACCAGCTGTTACAGAGGCACCATCCAATCTTGCTATGAACCAGTGTTGCCTGTTTTACAATGTAACTATAGTCAGTCATGTAGAAGAAACCCATGACTTGTACTACAAGGCACAGTACTCATCAGGTGTCTTAAATCCAATCAAAATAACCAATCAAAGTATTAAGTTTCACAACCATTGAAAATCATAGACCACATTCTAAAGACCTTTCTTGAATATCAAGGGTCTCGAATCAATTAAAGGATACATTGAGTGGCTCATACTTGAGCTGTTAAACAATATGCAGATAAAAATAGCTCCAGGTGAAAATAAAGCTGCACTTTAAAGAACCCTTAAGAAGCTAGAGTCAATACCTTTGTGTCTCCAGATTAAATACATATACGTCTCCAAAGCAGTTGACAGCAGCTAACCACTGCCCATCACAACTAGTAAACATTTTTGTTATGGGAGGCTCACTGGGCGGTAATTCTTCGTCATATTCCTCATGACGTGGTGTGAAGGTATGCACTAACTCTGAGCTGCCCACATCTACAACCTGCAGTAGCAAGAAAAACAAGTAGGGGTATTTAAAAACGAACAATAACAACATAATCCGTTCAAACTTCATCCACCTCAACAACTTAATCTAGGTAGAGAGAAATAGGAAAATAAATAAATTTGCAAAAGATAAATGCACATGTTTCACCAAAAGCATGATTTCAAAAACATTTTTCACCACCACCAGAGGCCAGCTACTGTCAATCCATTGTACAAAATCAATGTATTTTACCAGCTAAATCCACTTCCCTTTGGCCAAACAAATTTGAAAGGCCCAAAAAAGCATTTGCTTCAAGGTAGGAGAGTGACCTCATGAATTACTTGGTGTAAAGTGAGATTGCTCACAATTGGAGAACTTATCATAATTCCAATTTAAGGGTTTTGGTAGGACATACAACTGGCTGTAACAGCAATCTGCAATAATTTTTAAATATCTTGCAGTATATCAAGGAAAACAATTGGGATGGAGTTTTGGTAAGGGAGTCTCCCAAAAAATAATTATGGGCTTATCAATCACAGTAGAATTTTCTTTGCCAGACCTATTTCACACGGCACTTGCAAAGCTAGATTTTCTATTAGGTGACAGGCTAAGCAGTATTCCTCCCATAAAACATGACATTAACACCTGAAGTCTTACACTAGCTAATTGAGAATACAAATTTGATTTGTTTTATTTAAATCTTGCCTCAGTGCATAAGACCCATGAAAATTTGGACATCAGTGAAATTTCCACCAACAAATAAGTTAAAGAAAAAAGGATGATCGAAATACATACATATATCCTTCTATCATGCCCTGCTATCATCAATCGGGATGAATCAGCACTGAAGACCATGGAATGTGCATATGGCAATTTCACAGGAAGAGGCTTTTTATTAACAGTCCATGCACCTCTTCTGACTTCCTTCTTCAATTCAAAAAGATTGGGTTTAACATGGTCTGAGTAAGCAAAAAGAACCCCTGCATTAGAAATGGTGCTGCAAATAATTTTCCGTGATCCCTTAGTCTTAATTCGAGCTAGAATATCAGTCGTCGCATGGCCCCTTGATGGGCCAGGACCTGTATCAGTCATGAATCCACCTTTTGTTTGAACACAGAGAATATCTAACCAGGAAGATGATTGGACAAGAAGCAAACAATTCTGGTTGAATACAGTATTAAGAGCCAGCTGAATTGGCACTCTTTGGGGTGCTGGGCAGATATCATGAGGCGAGAACTTAGTGAATTCCTGGGCAGAATAGGCAAAGAGCTTCGTGTCATCACCAGCAGAGATAAGCATAGGAACTCCCAAATGTGTCCACTTGCGGTAACTAAAATCAATGGGCTTTTTTTATGACGAATCCTTTTAACTTTATCATCAGGCAAAGGATCTGTCATTTAGAAGCACACAGTTTCAGTAAGTGATAAACAATAAAATGCAGAATTAAAGGCAACAAAAAGCATAGACATAAGCATTTGCAATATTACTAAATTACCATGACAAGTACAGCACAAGGAAAAAGATATTATACACACCTTCTCGACTAATTGGTACTGCCACTGTCAAGGCTCTAACATCATGTGTATGAGCTCTTACATAACCAACATAGATCCATTTCTTCAACATTTTAGAAGAATCTATGTTATCACCAGACTTAACTGTCTCACTGCAAAGCTTATAAAGAATAACCTGCAAACAGAAGGGTACCAAACATTAGCCAAATAGCAAACTCCATTCTTGACTTTAGTTGAATGGATAGCAAATGACATATTGTGAGACAAACACATAGGAGTATTATATAGTAGTACAACAACTGAATTTATTATTTACATCTCTTAAATGGACAGTGACATAGTAAGAAAATTATAGCAAATATAAGAAATATTTGTACCTGGCCATCAGATCCAGCAGAGAACACCCTGTTATGACTAGGTGCAGCTGCCAGCGCGTTCACATCGCCCTTGTGAGAAGTATGTGCCTGCAAAAGTGTCCCATGTTGAGAGTCCCAAAACTGAACAGCACCACTACTGTCTGCACTAACAAGGGTACCGCATCTGAAATAATAATCAACTATCAGATATGCTGGAAAACTACAGCATAACCTAAAGTAAATTGTCAACTACTTAGCCACATATAACAAACAGACAGGAATGCTTGAGTATCTACCTAAGGGCAAGTAAAGACCAAATACAAAGGTCAGGTCCGCTACCCAAACCACCAAGCCCAGCAGTAATCCTGTATATCTCATTACTAAGCTTAGCATCCCAACACCTTATAAACCTGCAAGAATGCTGACATGCATAAGATAGTATATATTTAAAAGAAAACATTGCATTAAGAGACAAAAGCTTCAATATTCCACAAACTGTTAGCTAATGTTATGATTACACCCTAGGGTTTTGAAGTCAGATTCACTGAGCTACAACTGGATGGCAAATCGCAAAGGCAAACTCACCCATCACTACTGCCTGAATATATTCTACTCGCATCAGGACTCCATGCCACACTTAAAACACGCCCTGCAAACAATCACATGAGCAAATAGTTCTTCACAAGGGGGAAAGAACAACTCAACAGAGGATTCACAGAGGTGCAGATGTCTCACCACTGACCCTCGGCAACGTTTTATTGTATATTAACTCATCTGAGTCAGGAATAGTGTATATCCGCACACAACCATCATCACAAGCAATTGCCAGACGTTGATCCTCAACAACTATTTGCTCATGCTGTTCATCCGAGTCTGAATCTTCTTCACTCTCGCTGCTGCATTCAGACTCTTCACCACCTTTGTGTCTATCATTTAAATATTCATTCCCAAGGTGCTGTGAGTTGTGCTCTGTATGAACTGCTGAATTACTACAAGGCGCCACAGCCATCTGCCAAATTGAGACCCCTATTGACTCCAACACATTCTGCCAAAGGATTCAACAGATAAAAAAATACAGTATTATATAGATTAATTCATGAATGCAGATCAAAACGAGTAAAGCACTAGTTCCAGTACTATATAGCACTAATTCATGAATCATATAATTTTTTTTGCGAGTATAAAAAATACAGATCAAAATTGTTGATAGAAATTCTTCAACGTGAAGCAAATGCAAGCAAAAATTTTACCTTCTGCTTTAAGTGAAAAAGATCCCACTCTGAAACTGAACCGTCAATGCTAGACGAAAACAATCTACCACAAGGCAACCCTTTCGAGCCAGCAGGAGGCCATACAAGCGACGAAACTCGCGAATTAGGGTCTCCGTGAATCGTCTACAGATAAGAATCCGGCAAAAAAAAAAAAAAAACTTTCAACCAATTAATTAATTTCATAAATTTCAAAGGGTTAAAGTGCGAAAGTGAGTACCAGCTGGCAGTGCCAGCCGACCGAGCCAGGAGACACAAGCCAAATCTCAAGTGAGCCGTCTTCACGAGCAGCAGCGAACTGAGATTCGTCGGCGCTGGTGGCGAGGGATATAACTGGAGACGGCCTCCACTCGATTGAGCTGTTCCTATAAGCAGCTCCTAGCATTGATACTAGCTAAAAGAGAAATCGGCGACTTATTTAGGGTTTAGGATGGATTATATGAGGCAGAGAGAGACATAAAACGTGTAAAGAAGGCTAGGTATTTTACAGGGTTTAGAGGGGGTATCACGGCAATTTTTCACCCTCAAAGTATTGTGATTTGTCAATTTCGGACCCAAAATATCGAATTATATAATTTAAACCCCTAAGCATTACAGATTGGACAAATTTGATCTAAATTACTCAATCCCTGTTATTTCTCATGGTCAATTGACCGTTATTTAATTTTTTAATTAAAGCTTGAATTTTTAAGTTTAGAGATGACTTTTTGGGTCTCGAAACCCAAGTGTCCATCCCTAAATTTAGAAACCAAATATTTCATCCTTCGAGTAAAAACCCACAAATTCATTCACTAACCATCTCTATTCTTAACTTTGCCGAAAGCATATGCAAGTCTTAAAATAGGATATTTCACTTTTTAAGCTCTCTATAGCTCACCATATCCTCGGAAACCAATATTATACAAGTCAAAAAACACTATATGATTGGAGTTATTTCCTATCCAATTCAAAAGTATGTTTCTCATGGTTTGTGCAGTGCATATTAGACTACCAACGACTTTCATTTTGCTTGCAAATACAAAACCATTCAGTAGACAATTCAGCATAAATAGATATGTCTAATTCTAATTTATGTAGGTTGTAACACTTGAACTCCAACTGGATTCTACCTTTCATGCAAAAAACTGAAATTTCAAATAAAAAATATATTTTATAATGTATTAGAGCATGAATTAAATGAAAATAATCAAATAATTAAAGTCCGTGTTTAAAATGTGAAAAATTGTAGTGCTATATAATTGTAATGGTTAGTACAGAATTGCTGAGAAGGTAGAACTTTTGCTTTCCCAACAAATGTCTGCCCTACTCTTGGTGCTAGTGGACACTTCACTGGAGGAGAATATGCTTGAGTTTGCCTAAATTAATATAGCCTTCCCATGGATAATACAATCGGTGCACCATGAATTGATGTTACAGGTAGAATTCTTGACCGAGTGCATCAAGAGAAGATCTATTTGGGTCGGTCAAGGTACGTAGAGGAGGAAATACTTTCGGTGTGGTTATTGTATAGAAAATAAGGTTGTTTTCTAGGTTATTGGATGAATTTATGGGTTTCTACTTGAAGTTTTGGATTTAAAGATAGATGCATACACATATTATAATGATACTTACCAGATCTAGAGTATACAATATAAATACATAAATAAAACCACTTAAATTGTATAGAATATGTTGAAATCAATATATTTGAAATAAAAACTACTACAATATTAGTTTCGATAAATTTTGATTATATATTAAAAAAAAAGTAAATAAAAACCCACAAATTCTATTTTTAAATGATTATTAAAATATTTTAAAAAAATATTGAGCCAAATTATCCTACATGTGTGTGTGTGTGTAAAACAAAACTACTCCATTGTCATTTTAAGATTACAAAAATTCATTGTATAAATTATAATAATATATTAAAAAATAAAATAATCACATTCTAAAATTTTATTCCGAATCCATATATAAAACAAAACTATATTTATCAATAAATAAAAATTATATTAAAAAATTTAAAAATTAATTTGATGAGAATTTCTATAAAAATGATAAATTAAAAAAACAGGTTTTTAAACAATAAGAATGATATAATATGATATATGTTTCATGTAAAATTTTAAAACATGTTATATGTATTTCATTATTGTCAAACCGTATGAAAAAACTCAAAAAATAAGGACATGTTTTCTATAATTTTCTCACCTAATTTAATAGCTCACGATATGCTCGTTTGCGTATTTATTAACAAAATAATCAATAATATTATCATAAAAAGCAATATTTGAATAATTAGGAGGTTCTTTCAAAATACTATTTCAATTATTTTATTTAAAAAATATTGATTTTAGAACATGAAAAAGAATAAATAACAAATAATTGGTGTTATGTATATAGATGCATAGTTAATTTTCAATAAAATTAATTACTCAAATACACACACATTATGATCATACTTAGCAAATTTAATATATGTATATAACATAAAAAAATATATAAAAAAAAACCTAAATTTTATGGAATACATTGAAGTCGGTAGATCCAAATAAAAATTATTACAAAATTAGTTTTGATAAATTTTGATTATATATTGAAAAAGCAAATAAAATCCATGAATTCTATTTTTTTAATTGATTATTAAAATATCTATAAAAAAAATTGAGCCAAAATTATCCAAGACACGCTTTTAGCTTTATATATATGCAACTATGCCACTATTATTTAAATATCATAAAAATTCATCGTATAGATTATAATAATATATTGAAAAAGATAAATTAATCATGTTCTAATTTTTTTTCAAAATCCATACATATAAAAAACTATATTTATCAACAAATTAAATTGTATTAAAAAATAAAAATAAAAATTTGATGAGAATCCAATAAAAAAGTGATAAATTGAAGAAACAAGTTTAAACAATAAGAATAATATAATAAGATATATATGTTCAGTGTAAAAATTTAAAACATATTATATATATTTCATTAATGTTAAACTATAGGAAAAAAACTAAAAAAAAAAGGATATGTTTTTTTATAATCTTCACGTCTAATTTAATAACCACGATATGTTGTATATGTATTTGTTCAAAAAAAAATTCAATAATATTAGCATTAAAAAAAATATTTGAATAATTAGGAGGTTCTTTCAAAATATTATTTCAATTATTTTATTTAAAAAATACTATTTTTAGAACATGAAAAGGAATAAATAAGAAATAATTAGTATCACGTGTGCGGATACATAATTACTTTCCACCAAGACTAATTATTCGAACAACTACTTTCCATCAAGACTAATTATTCGAACAACACGTACATACATTATGATTATACTAAGTAGATTTAAAGTTTATAGCATAAATTAAAAATAAAACATAAAAACAACCCCGAGTTATGTGGAATATATTAAAGTCAATAAATTGAAATAAAGACGACTACAAAATTAGTTCCAATACATTTTAATTATCTATAATTTTAATTATTATAATATTTTAAATAAAACCGAGCTATATTATCCAAAACACACTTTTAGCTTCGAAGTGTGTGTGTGTTGTGTACTATCATTTAAAAATTGAGCCAAGTTATTCCATTTACTTGTTCATTGCTTTTATTATAGCGTAAAATAAACCAGCAAATCCTAGTACATATAGGACGATAGCTAATATCAAAAACGTGAATAGCATGCAAGCATATCAACTTGGAAGACGAATCCCCACCCAAGGTATATAAGTCCGGCACACCGCTTGAAAATCAGCTCAGCGGAGAAATAAGTCATCGTACCTCAATTATCTATATCACGAGGAACTAAATAAGCGATAGTCGAGTAAGTTAACTTATGCATGTCGTATATGTGAATGTACATGCATGTGCAAAACACTAGTATATGCATATTAAATCTTTTTTTTTCATGTCATAATACGTTTCATGATTGGTCCGAAAATCTTTTTTCGTCTTTTGACATGTCTTATTTTAGGTGCTTTAGGGTTTTCATGATGTATCTTTGATGAACCGGATCCGTCTACAAACGTGCTTTTCGAGTTTTTAAAAATGCATTTCGCACTTTCCTAGCCATAAAGCATTGCCATCATCGTATGAAAAACCCATAAGCCCTTTCTTATAAAATCCTCAAGGTTGGAAAACATTTTCAATTGTTGTTGGAAAACCATGACGTAAAAATGCGTTTTCCCGATTTCAAAATATTTCCCATGAAATTAGGCATGCATAAGCATTTAATTGATAATGCATAAATAATGTTGACTTATGAGGTGCATGCCATGAATAACCATGTGATTGTGCCATGAAAATGTATAAAATCAATAACATAATTGCATTAATAATACTACCTTGCATAAATAATTCCAACCATCACAATCCATACTAACACTAATATATCATCCAAACAACAAAAATTTACAATCATCCACGATTCAACAATATCCAACATCCATAATTCAAACACATTAAATACTATTCAAAAGCATAATTATACATAAATTTCCACTAAATAATCCCATAATTTTACATTTTCTTAGTTAGGTCAAATTGGGCATTAATTTAACCTAATCTTTTTCTTCAATCTTTAACATCCATTTCACCATCCATGTTTCTCAAATTGGTTATAATTTCATGAACCAACCTAACTAAGTGCTACTTAATTAATCACAAGCATAAATTCCAATTTGGGCCTAATTAGGCCCAAATTCTAACTTTACTATTAAAGGCCAATTTTTAATTTATACTAAAATATTTCATTCTTATTGATTTTATTACCCTATCAAAAGATCAAATTAACGAATTTAAGGATTAAAGACTATGTAAAATTAAACCCTAAATTTGCCCATTTTAGGGCGAAACTTGCCCTAATTAAATCCCAATTAATTTCTTCTCATTTCCTTCTATTTTTTTAACACTAAGTAGTTTAGACACATATTATCAATAAAAGCAATCTAATTAACATTTATGGTATAATTTCATGTCTAAACCTCGAATTGGGCCAAAAATGGGACTAAGCTAAATTAAACAATTTTCTTTTAGTTTCTTCAATTTTGTCCTTCCTACTCATCAAATTATACTCTCTCAATAACTAATTGACCAATAAATCATGGATTGAATAGATGAAGTCAAAACCCCAAAATCCTAAGTTTAGGCCGAATGGAACCCTAAGTATTTCATGAATTTAAATGAGTTTTTTTCATTCCTAAACACTAATTAATACCTAATTAAGTCATAATCAAGTCCTAAAACATCAATTGCATGAAAGAATAAAAAACCTCTAAATCATCACTTTAGCTCGAATGCTCCTCTCTTCCTAACCCTATAAATTTTTTAGTTTTAAACCTCAAATTGAAGTTCAATTAACATATTTCAATCTTAATTGTATGAATTATAAATT